ATAATACATTTTGTTTGTTTGTGAGACAGGTTTCTCTGGGTACCCCTAGCTGTTCTGGATCTCACTCTATAGAACAGGCTGGCCTCAAACTCAGAGATCTACCTGCCTCTGCTTCTCAAGTGCTGGGATTAAAGGCTACCACCATCCTGGCTATTATTAATATTATTTTTAGGCAGGATCTCTCTCTGTGTGTAACCCTGGCTGGCTTGGAACTCTCTGTGAAGCATAGACCAGTCTGACCTTCAGCTTTACAGAGCTTCAGCCTCTACCTGCCTCTGCTGTGACTGAGTGCTAGGACCAAAAGCAAGAGGACTAGTTAAGGACTTGAGTTGATCCCAGGTAAAAAGGCCAGGCAAGCATGTGGTATGTGCTTGTGATCCTAGCAGTGGGCAGGCAGGACTGGAAGATACTAGGGCTCATTGGCCAGCCAGTCTATCTAGATGGTGTATTTCAGGCTATTGAGGGATCCTGCCTCAAGGGAATACATGTGTACTGACACACAAACTTCAGCACTGACATTAAAAATTGAGAGCTGGATGTGGTGGTGGTGCTCACCCTTAATCCTAGCACTTACAGGCAGATCTTTGAGGCTAGTCTGGTCTCCATACTGAGTTTCACTATAGCCAAGGCTGTATAGTGAGAACCAGTCTCAAAAAGAAAGGAAGGAAGGAGGGAGGGAGAGAGAGAGAGAGGGAGGGAGGGAGGAAGAAGGAAGGAAGAAAGAGAGAGAGAGAAAGAAAGAAAGAAGAAAGAAAGTAAGTGGCTGGAGAGATCTCATGCATGCTGCCCTTGATGAGGACTGAGTTCAGTTTGTAGTACCTACCTCAGGCAGCTCACACTAGCCTGGAACTCCTTCTACCTCATTTAGAGCTCTAGTTTGAAATGAGGGAGGTTAAAGAGAAGACACTTTGAGAGAGATTAAGCCTCAGTGAGAACAAATTTAGGGGTCTGAGTCAGTTCCAGGAGAGGCTTGCTTAGGCTAGATAACAGGGCCTCCTTTAATATGGAACTCTAATGGATGAAGATGGTTTAGGCAAGGAGGAGGAGTTTTCACAGTGTGAATATAAAGATCACTGTTTCTGATGTCAGGAACTGAGAGCATCAGAAGCTTGGAACTTAACCCCAGGATGTGTGGGGTAAGATGGGGACAGCTTTTGTTTCTCAACCTTGATGCTTGTACCTTGGGTTACTTGTATAAGGCTGATCTCTGTTAAAGATGCTGAGAAACAGGGCTGTAGAGAAGATGGCTCAGTTGTTAGTGCCTACTGCTCTTGAAGAAGACTTGGAACCCAGTACCACATGGTGGGTCATGGCTCTCTCTAATTCCAGTTCCAGGGGTCCAGCACCTCATCTGACCCCAGAGGGCCCCTGCCTGTGTGTAGTGCGCGCACACACATGCGCTTAGATGCACAGGCATACAGTTATGTTGATATGCACCTGTAATCCCAGCATTTTCCAGGGTCTTATTATGTAGCCCTCGCTGGCCTGCAACTAGCCAAGTAAGTAGACCAAGGTAGTTCCAGACTCACAGAGATCCACCTCCCTCTGTCTTCCAAGTACTGGGATCAAAGGCAGTGCCACCACATCTGACATTTTCTTACATTCTTATACTGTGACATCTGAAATCAGGAGTTAAGTTGTATAAAGTTTGGCTACTTACTATAAGTAAGTCTCTTGTAGCATCTCCCATACCAGCAGTTTTTGAAAATACGGGCTTGGTGGTACATGACTTTAGTACCTGCCCTGGGAGGCAGATACAGGCATTTGGATCTCTGATTGTAAGATGAGCCAGGCTTACACATAGAAGCCTAGTCTCGGAAAGCTTTGTGTGTGTTTGAGAAAGAGCGGAGAGAGAGAGAGATGTATCTTCTAAGCTAGGTGTTGTGGCTCATTTATTTGATCCTAGTGTTTGGAAGGCAGAGGCAAATGGATCTCTGAGTCTACAGTTGTTCTAGGACAGCCAAAGCTACACAGAGAAAACCTGTCTCAAAAAAAAAAAAAAACAATTTTTTTTTTTTTTTTGAACTGTGTGTGTTTGTGTATGTAAAACTCTGAATAAGCTGCTGGGCATTGTGTGACTCCCAGGCTACTAGGGGCTACATAGTGAGACCTTGTCAAACAAACAAAACCAACATTTAGTACAAGGGCTTTTATATAGATTTTCTTGTTTAACCCTCACAAGCCCTAGAAGTGCATAAAATTTTTCTAAATGATTTGTCTAAGGTAAAAGAAGCCAGTGAGTAGTAGAGCTGAGATTTGAACCTAAGAGTCTGATCTCACTGTACAGCCCATAGCATGTATGTAGGAATGAAATGAGTGAGATGGCTGTGGGACCTGTGACCCTTGAGTTGGGGTAGGTGCCAAATAGCTTCTATTCTTTTTATATCTCTGATATCTTTGGGGTGTCTACTTCTTGTTAACAGTATGTAACCTGTAAAGTGGGACATGCTATTTTCTCAGAGTAACGAAGGGTAAGGTTCCGTGTAGATTCAACAACAACACCACAAAGAAGGGTGACCCATCTTTGAGGATATAATCCAGAGCACACAGGAAGAAAGATGTGTTTTTTTCCCCACATAACAATGTGTGGCCGCCTAAAACTGGAGGAGCGAGGGGAAAGTACAGGTCAAATGGAATTGGCTCTTCAGGCTTTCTTTCCAGGATTTCCAAAGTGAACTATTGCATGTTCTCTTTGCTCTTGTGTTTTAAGCTTTAGAAGTAGCGCATCCTAAAAACAAGGATTTAATTCTGTTGTTTTGTGTTTTTTGCTTAGGATTATTAACCACACGATGTGTTATTTTTCGGATCCTTGTTCTGAAGAATGCACTTTCCGTGTATTTGGGACATTCTGGAAGACTGTGGTCTTTCCTCTGTAGACTTGGATCTTTTCATGGATGCAGAGCAGATGAAGCCATTACTTGCTTTACACTTGATCTTAGCCAAAGAGCTGAGGCGTGGCTGCTATTTATTTTGGCATGTGTGTTCTGTATGGGGGTGCACAGGCACCATAATAGCCATGTAGAAGAGAGGAGTTGTTTCTCTCTTTCAACTATGTGGGTTCCAGGGATGAACTCAGGCTGTCTTGTCAGCTCTGTTTGTAATTTTAGAATAAAGCTGGGATACTGTATATGAGAGAGAAATTAGTACTGAAAACTTCCCAAGTTGAGCTTGCTGTCATATGCTAGTAATCTGAATACTTGGAAAGCTGAGGCAGGAGAGTTACTATGAGTGGAGGCTATTGTAGGATACAGGAAAGACTCAAAAAGCAAGCAAACAAACCCACCTCTTCCCACCTAATGTGCTCTTAAACAGGAGACAAACTGCTTTTATTTTTATTTCTTTTTGTTAGAATTGATTAAAGTAGTGACAGTGATAGTATTTAAACTATAAAACCTTAGGATTATCATGCCATGTGCTGTACAGGGTAAAGCTTCCTGCTGCTAAGCCTGAGGGCTGAGTTCAATCCCTGGGACTCACATGGTAGGAGAGACCTGGCAGGAATGCCATGACATGTGTGCCTACACACACATAAGCAAGCAGCTTGTGTGTGTGCGCGCGCACACACGTGTGCACATAAGCGTGTGGGCGTATATGTGTGTGTGCATGTAGTATGTTCCTACACTGTTCACACATACCTAGTAGCGTTTAATTTTCAGTATATAGCATATTCGTGCTGATTGCTTGCTTTGAAACAGGGCCTCACCGTGAAGTCCAGTCTGTCCTTGAACTTTGCTTGCCTTGGCCTCTTGAGTGCTAGGCTTGTAGACATGTGCAGGCAAATCTCACTGGTGTATGTGTATCTCTTGGTATATTTTTCTTTTTTCTTTTTTTTCTAAGAAAGGAACTTTTTTGTTATGTATTTTTATTTTATGTGCATTGGTGGTTTGCCTGCAGGTATGTGTATGTGAGAATGTCAGATTCTGGGGTTACAGACAGTTGTCAGCTGCCATGTAGGTGTTGGGATTTGAACTCAGGCCCTCTGGAAGAAGTCAGTGTTCCTAACAGCTGAGCCATCTCTCCTGCCCCATCATGTATTTTTATAATCAACTTTTAAAAAGACAATTAAAATACCACCTAGGTCTGCTTATTGCTTTATTTGTAGGAACTTGATAAAGAAAGCTTTATGACTTCCCAGTGTGCATGCTTTTAATCCCAGCACTCAGGAGGCAGAGGCAGGCAAGGCTAGCCTGCTTTACAGAGTGAGTTCTAGGACAGCCAGGGCTACTGAAACCCTGTCTCTGGGAAAAGAAAAAAAAAAAAAAAAGCTTTCAGTGTAAATGTTTCTATTTACATGTATTTATTCTAGTTTTATTTTATCACTTTACAGCCTGATCCCAGCCCCCTTCCTCTCTTCCCAAGTCCACCATTCCCACTGATTGGGAGGAAGGATTGAGGGAGCCAGAGGGGTCAAAGACACCACAAGATGACCTACAGCGTAAACTAACCCATGAGGGCTCACAGAGACTGAACCACCAACAAAAGAGCTTGCATGGGCCGGACATAGACCCCTAAACATTTGTACCAGATATATAGCATGATTATCATGTGGGAACCCTAACAACAGGAATAGGAACTATTTAACATAATTCAAAGCCAGCCTTCCTTCCTTCCTTCTTTCCTTCCTTCCTTCCTTCCTTCCTTCCTTTTATTTTTAATAGAAACAGATCTCTCACATTAGGTTAATGTGTACTAATATATCATAAATACCTAATTGGTCAAACTTTTCCAATAATTCTTAATTCTGCTTTCGTCCTTCCTATTAATCATCCAGGGCTTTATTTCTTAACATCCCTAGTGCTGCGTTTATAAAATGCGATGCCATGCTTGACTTACAGTTGGGTCTTTGTCCAGGTTAAGGGTATATTTTCTTCTTTTTCAACTTGCCCATTCTCCCAGTACCTACACTGAAAGGTAAGTAAAGGGAGGAGAGTGGACATGGCCTGCAGATGACAGTATAACCTTGTTTAATCAAGTATTTTTTCCTTTTCTCCCTCCTACAGAAATGGAGGCAAACGACCACTTTAACTTCACTGGCCTTCCCCCTGCACCAGCTGCCTCAGGACTGAAACCCTCTCCTTCTTCAGGGGAGGGCCTCTACACTAACGGGTCTCCCATGAACTTTGCCCAGCAAGGGAAAAGTGAGTGTGAAGACCTGGGGATGGAATAGGCATCTTCAGAGCAGGTTGATAGAGGAGATTGAGATATTTTAGGCTTACACAAATATTCCCACAACGTTTTGCTGGCAGGTAGTGGCAGGAAGTAAATCCATGGAACTAACTATTGGCCAGAGAGAAGCTGAGCTTCTGAGAACAAGCTTTAGGGGCTTATAGAAGCTGAGTTTTTTGTTTTGAGTCTAGATTGGAAAAGATAAAGAAAAAACATACAAGCTTTTCTATCTTAGCCTTTTGTTGGTCCTGTTCCCTGGCTCCTACTGTTCCTCCTGAGGGTATGGATCTACAGCAGGTAAAGCCCTCTGGGTAGCTGCTTTTAGGAGAACTTTGGACTAGGGGTGAGGAAGGTGGGTGAAGGTCGTAGTAAATATGCCTTTAACTTGTACAGTAGAGAAGGCCTACAGCGGAAGGCCAACAGCAGAAGGCCTGCGCTGCCTTTTGTCCTTGTGTGGAAGGTGGGTATGCAGTGCCTTCCCTAGAAATTTATAATTCCACATGAAAGTGTTGCTGTTGGGGTGGTTTTCTTTTTCTTTTTTTTTTTTTTTTTTTTTTTTTTTTTGTGGTAATGGCTTATTCTAGCCCAGGATGATTTTGAACTAGTGGCAGTCTTCCTATCTCAGTCTTCGGTCAGTTACCTTTCTAAATTTTCCAGGACTTCACGTCATTTTGCTTAGAAGTGGAATTTCATGTGTTTTCTCCTTAGCAGTAAAAGAGTTCTGACTTGCACTTGTTGCTGACTAACTTGTCACTTAGAGGACACTGGCAGATAAATACACCCCCCCCTTTTTTTTCTTCATTATTTTCCACACTTAAGTACCCACCCACTTGCTTCCAGTTTCTTTAGTATCTTGGTCCCTTTTATTGATGTCTGTTGCAAAGTCAAAGAAAGCAATTTTCTGAGCTGGATTCTTTCTGCAGCACTGGTCATGCAGATTTTTACCTACTGCATATCACCCTCCAGGGCCTGTGGGGAGGGGCTCACCCCAGCCTTCTGAGCTGGAATCTTGTCACTGTGGTGACCACAGATTCTATTCTTAGCCCAACACAAGGTTCTGGATCTGCTTGTGCCAGTTAAGTGGAGGCTGCCCCTTCTGGAGCTACTTTAGGCCCAAGTAGGCACGAAGGAAGGAGGCAGGAGAGCTCATTCCTGCCCTCCAAGGGAAGAGTTCCTGTAAGGAACGAGAGTGGGAAAGAATATAAGTCGCTGTAGGAAACTGCAGCTCCATGGGGTAAAGGCCTCGCAGCAGGGACAGCTGCTGCCCCAGCTCCTGCAGCACACTTGGGCGGTGCCCCGGACCCTTACCTTGAAGTCTGAGCACCAGCTGCTGAGTTTGCACAGCAACATCCAGCTTTAGTGTCCCCTTTGAGACCCAAAAGATAAATGCAATGAGGAGTCACCTTACTTGTGCTTTCAATGTGGTTAATTGAAGTTTATTTGGCAATATATTGCATGTGTATTTAAAACTGACCCTCTTCCATTTTTTCTGACAGGTTTGAATGGGGATGTGAATGTTAATGGCTTATCTACTGTATCTCACACTACTACTTCAGGGATTTTGAACTCTGCTCCCCACTCCTCCAGCACTTCACACCTCCATCACCCTAACGTGGCCTACGACTGTCTTTGGAACTACTCACAGTACCCATCTGCCAATCCTGGCAACAACCTCAAGGACCCTCCCCTTCTTTCTCAGTTCCCTGGGGGACAATACCCACTCAATGGTATCCTTGGGGGCAGCCGACAACCTTCGTCCCCAACCCACAACACTAATCTTCGAGCTGGGAGCCAAGAGTTCTGGGCCAATGGTACCCAGAGTCCCATGGGGCTTAACTTCGATTCACAGGAACTGTATGATTCTTTTCCTGATCAGAATTTTGAGGTGATGCCCAATGGACCCCCAAGTTTTTTCACCTCCCCACAGACTTCTCCAATGTTGGGATCTAGTATCCAGACCTTTGCACCTTCCCAGGATGTAGGCAGTGGGATCCATCCTGATGAGGCAGCAGACAAGGAGCTGACTTCAGTTGTGGCAGAAAATGGCACTGGCTTGGTAGGCAGCCTGGAGCTGGAGGAAGAGCAGCCAGGTATAGCTGGGCCTGTGCGCTGGGTGTGCAGAGGGGAAGTGGGATGGTTGGGGGACAGGGGCTTTTTGAGGTGAGGAAAACCTGTCTTTCTAGCTCTCTGTGGTTCAGGCTGATTTGCATGTTGGTGATTAGCAGAGCCAAGTGGCTGGTGTTTTTGTGGCAGCAGCACCAGCTTGAGTGGGAGTGCAAATTATTTCAAGCTCATGCAGAGCTGGCCTGGAGAGGGCAGGTGGGCGATGGGAGAACCTGCAACAGCCCAGACAGACACTGCATCAAGAAGGGCTTCTTAGACTGGGAATGTAGCTTATATAGCATGAATGAATGAGGCAGGTATCCTGACACATGCCTATAATCTCTGCACTTGGGAGGTGGAGGTAGAAGGAGTAGTTCAAGGTCAACCTGAGACACCTAAGACCCAGTCTCAAAAAAGGGTGGGTTGGAGGCTTCTGTTAAAATAGAGGAAATGGTTAGGACGTAAACAGTGAGGAATGAGGCCATGAGACTGTTTTAGTTGTGGCAGGATTAGGTACTGCTGAAGAGAGCTTAGCCTAGAAGTGACTGGCTTATGAATAGAGAAGAAAATGGGCAGAGTGCACCGCTGCTTGTCTGTTCAGATCCTTTATTTTTGGTTGTTAACCTCTTTTGTTTTCCTAAAAATAGATAAAAATTCTAGTTTGCAGTCAGTGCAAAGGTGACTACCCTATAAAAATAAAATATTTTTTCTGTTTCTCTTGTTGGGAAAAATAACTGAATAAGTACATGGTAGGGCGTCTTGTCTCAGGCCTTACTCTCTTTTACTCTTTGCCTGATGTATGATTTGTGTTAGCAATATATCTCTACTCCTTTAGATATCTGGACAGGATCTGTTTCCAGTATATAACCGGCAATAAATGTTGATTGGATTGAATGAATATATACATATATATATTATTTATTGATACTGGGTTTCTCTGTGTAGCCCTGGCTATCCTGGACTCACTCTGTAGAACAGGCTGGCCTCGAACTCACAGAGATCCACCTGCCCCTACCTGGGATTAAAGGCTTGCACCACCATGTCCACCTGAACATTTTTTTAAAGCAAAGTTAGAGTTTACTAAGAGAATGTTTTAACATGGATTTGAGTACCAGTGTGGCTGGGGAAGGGTGCATTTTGGAACAGAACTATTTATACCCTTGGGTGTGTGGACTTTCTGTAAGAGTTGCACACCTATGATAGCCACCTAGTAGAGCTAAATTGAAGGCATCAGTTTTCACTTTGGGTCTCTCCTGGGACTGCCTAGAACTCAAGATCTGTGGCTACAATGGTTCTGTCTCGTCTGTGGAGTCTTTACACCAAGAGGTCTCTGTGCTGGTCCCTGATCCCACAGTGAGCTGTCTAGATGATCCGTCACATCTTCCTGATCAACTGGAAGACACTCCAATCCTCAGCGAAGACTCCCTTGAGCCCTTTGACTCTCTGGCAGCAGGTGGGCTTGGCAGGGCGTGCCACCTGGAGACATTAGAGCACCAGGGAAAATTTTAGGGCCTCTGGGGTGTTGGGGCTTGTAGGCAAACCTTTAGTAAACCATGATCTATACTGCTGGGTGGGCCAACTTTACTCAGATGCATTGGTTCAGTTCCCAGGCTCTTTCTGTCTTCCAGTTGGCCGAGAGCCCTTGGCTGCAATAATTCACTGGATAGGCTGTAACTACCACACAGTTGGGCTGTTTGGATTCTAAGTAGCTAGAAAGAAAACATTTGCCAATTAAATATAAAAACAAGGCCTGTCTTATAATAAATGCTAGATTTCTGCAAGGATCTGTGGGTAGATATATAGTCAGTATCTTTGCCTTCATTTTCAGTCTCCTGACTTTGCTCTTGCAGAGGGCTATGTATTTCCTGTTTTGATATTAATGTATAGCATGCTAGGGTGGCTAAGGAAGGAGGGTTGTGACTTTGACACCATTGTGAACTACATAGTGAGTTTCAAGTTAGTCTAAGCTAGAGGTGATGCCCTTTCTTGTGTCCTTCCTCTTCCCTAATTCATCACATTAGAAACTAGAATTGGATTATTGGGAGTTGGGGAGGGCTGGTATTTCTTAAATCTTGCTATCTAATTTTTTTCTTAATATTCTGCTTTGCTTTCCCCCAACCCCCACCTCTCCTAAACAGAACCAGTGAGTGGAGGACTTTATGGTATAGATGACACGGAGCTGATGGGTGCAGAAGACAAGCTGCCTCTTGAAGACAACCCTGTAATCTCTGCCCTTGATTGCCCTTCTCTCAATAATGCTACTGCCTTCAGCCTCCTGGCAGACGACAGTCAAACATCAGCCTCTATCTTTGTCAGCCCAACCTCCCCACCTGTCTTAGGGGAGTCTGTCTTGCAAGGTAAGTGGAGAGAGGTACGACATGAGAGAATGGGTTAAGCCCTTAATATGGGAAGTGTGTAACAGTATCTCGCTGACAGATGATGTCCAGTGAAAATAAAGAAGACATCAGCTGCTGGATGTGGTGGCACACGCCCGTAATCCCAACACTTGGGGAGGCAAAGGCAGGTGGATCTCTGTGAGTTGGAGGCCAGTGTGATTTACAAAGCAAGTCCAGGATAGCCACGGCTACACAGAGAAACCTTGTCTCAAAAACAAAACAAAAAAAAGCAGACAACGGCCATTATACTTTGACCTGTGCCCTTAGTGGAGAGTTTGAAAGACTTGGAAATTGTCAAGGAAAAGAAGGGCAGAGGCTTTTCTGCTTCAGGAAAAGCTATTTCTCTATGTGATGAGGATAGCACCAGCTTTACCCTTTAACTTCAAAAGTGTTTGGGGTAGGAAAAGAGCCAGTGCTTCTTTTTTAAAACTTAATTTTACATGTACTAGTGTTCCTCTGAGCTTATACACATACACACACACGAGATATCTATTCTATTATATAGATATCTCGTGTGTGTATCTATCTATCTATATCGTGTGTGTGTGTGTGTGTGTGTGTGTGTGTGTGTGCGTGTGCGTGTGCGTGCGTGCGTGCGTGCGTGCGTGCGCGGTGCCCTTGAAGACCAGAAGAGGGTGTCAGACCTGCTGGGATGGGCTTTAGAGAAGGTTGTGAGTCAGGTGTCTTGTGGCTGCTGGAAATACACAGTGGTCCCCTGGAAGAGCAGTTGCTACTTTTAACCACTGAGCCATCCCTCCAGCACCCTAGAACTACTTTTTTGTTTTGTTTTGTTTTGTTTCCACTAAACGATCTTAAAATAACCATGTTTACCATAGTGTGGGTTTGATTGGATAAATTCATTTACTGATACTGTTTTCTCTTACTTATACCATCCTTTGAATTTTAGATAATAGCTTTGACTCTGAACAGGAAGAAATGGAGACTCAGTCTTCAGACTTCCCTCCTCCCCTGACTGAGCCAGCCCCTGACCAACCACCTACTGTTGAGCTACGTCCCTCAGTCTCTCCGGCAGCCTCTCCAGCTGCATGTGCCTCTCCTGCTGCCTCGCCTGCCCTCCCAGCCAGCTCCTTGGAAGCCTCTGTGACAGCTCCAGTGACTTCTCAAGCTTTCCCTGTACCTTGCCCAGCAGCTGCTGTCCAGACAGTCTCCCCAGCAGATGACAATGTCAGCACTGTCCCTGAAACTTCTGCTGATCAGGAAGAGATCACTGGAGAAACTGCCACCGTTTCTGGTGGTGGTGAGTGTCTAGTCCAGACTCAGTGCCTTTTCTTATGAATGTGAATGCTCTGTTTTCATGCACACAAGCAGAGGAAATCACATTCTATTATAAATGGTTGTGAGCCACCATGCAATTTCTGGGACTTGAACTCAGGACCTCTAGAAGAGCAGCCAGTGCTCTTCTGAGTCATCTCTAGCACCCCACCACCACCTTTTTTTTTGGGGGGGGGGTGAATTCAAGACAAGATTTCTCCTGGAACTCACTCTGTAGACCAGGCCTTGAACTGAGGCTTAGCCTGCCTCTGTCCTCCAAGTGTCAGCCTGATTCTGTTCATTTTCTTTTCTTTTTTAAGAGATTTTTTAAGATTGATTTGTTTATTATGTATGCAGTGTTCTGCCCGCATATACACCTTTATGCCAGAAGAGGGCACCAGATCTCATTATAGATGGTTATGAGCCACCAGGTGGTTGCTGGAAATTGAACTCAGGACCTCTGGAAGAGCAACGCATGCTCTTAACCTCTGAGCCATCTCTCCTGCCCCAGATTCTGTTCTTAACTGCCTGGGTGCTACAGAAGTTTATTTCATAAATTTCATCTCCCTTTCTCTACTAACCTGTTATTTACTTTGTTTTATCTATCTATCTGTCTGTCTGTTTGTCTATTTATTTATTTGTCTTGCCATGTAGCCTTGGCTGACCTAGAACTCACTGTGTAGCCCGAGCTGGCCTCCAATTCACATAGACATGCCTGCCTCTGCCTCCAAGTGCTCTGCCACCATGCTCAGCTCTGTCCAATAGTTTGCTTGACTTCTTATCTTGATGTCTGTGATCTTATTCTCAAGGTGATGTACTGAAGAGACGCATTGCTACCCCAGAAGAAGTTCGTCTTCCTCTCCAACATGGGTAAATGCTCTAGATTGCCACATGTGTTGACCTAAACAAGCTTAGGAATGACTAGGAAGAAAAGAGCTCCTCTCTTCATCTTGGTGAGAGAGGATTGTGCTAGACAGGAATAGATTACAAGGCAGCAAGGAGGCCGTGGAATCCCTGTGTTAGTGTCACAAGCTGTTGTGAGGCCACCTGTTGTAGTGCCGGGATCTAAGCTTAGGTCCTCTGAACAGCAGCAAGTGCTCTTCACTCCTGGGCTATCACTCCAGACCAGTGTCCTCTTTCTTAGGATCTATCTTCTCCCGCATTTTTTGTTCATCTGCTGGTTACTTGGTTTTTGATTAAGCATCCTTTTTCAGACTAAGGCTCAAGTATTCATAGCAGCTAGATAGAACTGTTTTCATAGAGAGGGGCCTCTCCTACCAGTGAATTGGATGGTTGTGTGGCACTGATTTCTGTTTTAATGCTCTCTGGAGAGTTAAGCCCTCGAACTTTACTTAATGACCTGTTGACAAAGGCCTTGTGGAAATAACTCTCTTCTTAGATTTTCACCACAACCACTCTAGACTACTTACTGTCACCGTTAGTACTACTGCAGTATTAAGGACAAAGATACGGCTGAGTTTATAATTTTCTGCTCAGCATAGTCACTAACTAAAATTTACCTAGTTATTCGTACAGTCAGCCTTCAGTTCACTCTTCAGCTTTGTGATGACCTGAGCCAGACAGTTAGGAGTTTTTAGCTGCTCATTTCAGTAGCTTAATAAAAAGGAGGGGTGGGGATCTTTGAACACATTTGCCATTCACTCTATTGTTTTCTTTTCCTGAAATACTTGGTTTGGCTCAAGTGTTTTGAGCCCAGGCTCATGTGCTGTGCTATTTGTGTGTGCAGGATTGTCTGTGGGACTGTTTGCATGCAGGCGAGGGGACAGATGTAGGGGGATCTGCTCAGTAGGCTTGGGTCCTGGGTGGCATGGGAGTGGGTAGGGTGTGACCTGGTGGTAGGGCCCATGTGCTTCTCTGGCAGGTGGCGGAGAGAAGTGCGCATAAAGAAGGGGAGCCATCGGTGGCAGGGGGAGACTTGGTATTATGGCCCCTGTGGGAAGAGAATGAAGCAATTTCCAGAAGTTATCAAGGTAACAGCATTTGTAGCTTTTTATTGTTGTTGTTTTATTTGTTTATTTGTTTGAGACAGGGTTTCTCTGTGTAGCCCTGGCTGTTCTGTACTCTCTTTATGTAGAGCGGGCTGGACTTAAACTCATAAACTCACAGAGATCTTCCTGCCTCTGCCTCCCTGAGCGCTGGGATTCCAGGTGATCACCGTTGCACTCAGCTCCCATTTGTGGGTTTTTTAAAAGGACTTTTTTTTGGGGGGGGGGGTCCCAGAAGAGCAGGCTAGCATTGTCTGCTCTGGAACCTGTTCTGCTTGTGCTGTAGCTAGCCAAGGACATGGTAGGACATGACTTTACTGATGTCACTTTTCCTTTCAGTACCTGAGCCGAAATGTGGTACACAGTGTCCGCCGTGAGCACTTTAGCTTCAGTCCCCGTATGCCTGTTGGAGATTTCTTTGAAGAAAGAGATACACCAGAGGTGCTGGCTTGAGGGTGACATAGTTGGGAACAAGTTATAGCTTCCTTTTGTGGAGTTTGGTGGTTCAGGGGGTCTGGGTTAGTTCAGAGGGCTCAGTAGCCTGCACTGACTGTCTCCCTTATTCCCTTAGGGCTTGCAGTGGGTCCAGTTATCAGCAGAGGAGATTCCATCCAGAATTGAAGCAATTACTGGCAAACGAGGTCGACCTCGAAACAACGAGAAGGCCAAAAACAAGGAGGCTCCCAAAGTGAAGCGGGGCCGAGGCCGGCCTCCTAAGGTCAAAGTGCCTGAGCTATTGAATGCTACAGACAGCCGGCTTCCAAGAAAACTGGAGACCCAAGGTACAGTGTTGTCTGTAGCTCAGGCATTCCACTCCCTCCAGGAGGCATCTGAAGCATTGCTGATGCCTGGATTTCACAGGAAGGGCTGACATCTGGACAGCTGGACCAAAGTCTGTTCTTGCCCCTTGGAAAGCATGACAGGATCCCAGCACTACTACATTTCCCCCCAGGCAATTTCTTCCTTTGACTTGTGTTTACTAGTAAAGCAGTGGGCTGTCCTTAAATACAGTAGTAGCCAAGGAAAAGAAAGCTGCCGTGCTTTTTCCTGTCTTTCAGCTCCTTGCTTATACTAACTTTCTTCACACCCGAATCCAAAAGATAATTGGCACACTGTTTTAAGTGGGATAGGTAATGGGGGGAAATGTCTAATTTTTAAAGTAAGCATTATTTTAAAATGCTTATTATAGTCCTTAACAGTGTGTAGAATATGAAATAGTCCTGTTAGTTTCGTTCGGAGTTCTAGCTTTGCTCTCTGGCTGTATCTTTTTTCTCCATTCCGGGAATAGTCCTAGGACTTTGCACTCGTCTAGCAAGTACTCTATCAAAGTTAAACACTCAACCTCAGTATTTTTCATTTTTCAAAAGGTTTGTTTTATATGTGTAAATGTTTTGCACATAGGCACTACTACTGTGCCTGGTGCCTGTGAAAGCCATAAGAGGGTGTCAGATGCCGTAGAAGTACAGTGGTAGATGGTTGTGAGCCGCCATGTGTTTTGAGACAGGGATTCTCTGTCGCCCTGGCTATCCTGGAACTCACTCTTTAGACCAGGCTGGCCTCAAACTTCAGAGATCCACCTGCCTTTGCTTCCCAAGTACTGGGATTAAAGGCACACACACGACCACCTGGCTTAATAAAAGCTTTAAGTGATTTATTTGTCCACAATATAGTTACTGAAATGTGTGGTGATATTTCTGTCTGTATCTGTACCTAAAAGAAAAAGTACTGTTAGGTCAAAATACCAGTTAGAAGTGAGTCATTTGCAGGTTTATACTTTGATTCAGGTCTTTTGAGTAGGGCGAGCAGTGGAGACTGAGCATGAAAACTGCTGTAAAAGTGTTGAGCTGGGTCTCTGGAAACGTCCATCATCTGTCTTTTTTTTCTTGGTGCGCACAAGGTTGTCAGTGTTACACAACAGTGCTCTCTTTCTGTGAGAGTTTAGAGTCCTGTTTCCTTTCTCAGCTCTCTTTGCACTAAAATCAGGCTGTGCACTTCAGTCTGTGCATTGCTACTCTTGCTGCACAGCCTGGGAAAGATGCAGATTATAAGCCACTCTGCACTTGCAGCACCTTTTCCACCAGTTGGACCATTTCCAAAGCTGTTCAGTTGGAGCTAATCTGTGGTTTCTGGACTGGTGATGCTGTTTCAGCATTGTGTACAACTCCTGAGCAGATGCCTCTCTCACTCCTATATCTCTTGAATGTTTTACCATGTCTATTAAAAAAACAAGCCCAAAAGCCTCCACAAAACCAAAACAACAACAAAGCTTGTTGTTGATGGAGCTGCATGAGCAGCCAGCTTAGTAGTGGGCAGGAGCTGCCTGCCCTGCGTGCCAAGCATGTCTTTCTACCTCTCGTTTTTCAGTTTCTTTCCTTCCTTCCTTCACAGAAACACTGAATGAGGAGGAGAAAGCAAAGATGAGTAAAAGCAAAAAGAAGATGAGGCAGAAGATTCAGCGGGGAGAGGGTCAGACCTCTGTCCAAGGGCAGGTGAGTGACACCAGTGGGCTAACATTCTACAACCTGCTTTCTATTTTCTTATACTTATATTCCCCACTTTCAGTATAGCACAGCACACATTCGTTAGATGGAACTTCTTGGGCTTGATTTAGAAAAGTGAGATTGTTCAAGAAAAATACGGGCACCTCTAGGGTGAGAGAATTGATCCATTGCCAACTCCTCCTCATCCCATCTCACCTCTCCTTTCCAGCACCCTTTTCTGTTTTTGAATCCTAGCCCAAGCAGAGATGCTTTCAGAGTTTGAGGAGAAATGACTTCCCTTATGGTTTACAGGCCAGAAGCAAGAGGAAGCAAGACAGCAAGACCTTAAAGCTGAGGGACACTAAGAAGAAAGTCAAGGTTTGTGTACAGATGCATGTCCCAAGTTCAATTCCTTTCTCCAGGATGCATTGTGCATTGTAGACAAGCACCCTACACCACAGTTAACTTCCACCTTCCAAGTCTGAACAGATTTTCCAAACACTCTTCAGTGTTATAGTATAATTACATTTTGGACTCTTGAGTTTGGGAGAAACTAGGATCAGGCATGGCTAGACAGGTATCTTTTTGTTTTGTTATATGTCTGTGTGAGAGTGTTGGATCCTCTGGAACTGGAGTTACAGACAGACAGTTGTAAGCTACCATGTGAGTGCTGGGATTTGAACCTTGGTCCTGTGGAAGAGCAGTTAGTACTCTTAAGCCGCTGAACTATCTCTCCAGCCCCCGGGCAGGTATCTTTATGCCCCTTACTTGTTCCTTTCTCCCTGGGTGGGTAGGTAGAAAAGATGAAGACAAAGCCGGAAAAACTCAAGGAAAAAGTGAAGAGGGAAAAGAAAGAAAAGGTAAAAGTGAAGGGAAAGGAAGAGGCAGGCAGAGCCAAACCAGCCTGTAAAGCAGATAAGACCCTTGTCACACAAAGGCGTCTGGAGGAACGGCAGAGGCAGCAGGTTATCCTGGAGGAGATGAAGAAGCCCACAGAGGATATGTGTCTGACTGACCATCAGGTATTAAGGGTCATGGAAAGGCCTGAGGACATTTGTATTACCAGAAGGACCTGAATATCCAGATGCTGCCTCCTGGTCAGTCTTAACAGGAAACCCACTTCCTTTTCTCTCTCTAGCCCCTGCCTGACTTCACACGCATCCCTGGTTTGGCACTATCCAGTCGGGCTTTCTCAGATTGCTTGACCGTCATGGAGTTCCTGCATAGTTTCGGCAAAGTGCTCGGCTTTGACCTTACCAAAGACGTTCCTAGTCTGGGCGTCCTTCAGGAGGGACTCTTGTGTCAAGGGGACAGCTTAGGCAAAGTGCAAGACCTGCTGGTGCAGCTGCTGAAGGCTGCCCTCCGTGACCCCGGGCTGCCCTCCTACTGCCAGGTGAGCTTGCCTATGCCCCAACAAGAACCCAGAGAGTAAGGGACTCTAATTGCTTCTTGCTTGTAATTTCATACTTTCTTTTTTTTTTGCAGTTCTTTTTCATTTTATCCTTTTCTTACTGCAGTTTTTCTTTTTAGCCTTTCACGTTTTTCCAGTAACTTTTTCCCTTAACTTTTTATTTTATGTGTAGAGGTGTTTTACCTGCCTGTTTGTGTACATGTGTGCCTGGTACCACAAGCACCAGAAAAAGATTGTTGGAGCCCTTGGAATTGCAGTTACAGACAGTTGTGAGCTGCTATGTGAGTGCTAGAATTGAATCTTGTGGAAGAGCAGCCTGTGTGCCTAATGCTGAGCCATCTCTTTAGTCCCATGTTCTGCCAACTTTCATTCTCTCTCTCTCTCTCTCTCTCTCTCTCTCTTTCTCCACAAAAAAATTTTTAGCTGGGTATAGTGGCACATGCCTTTGATCTCAGCACCTGGGAGGTAGAGGCAGGTAGACCTCTTAGAGCCTGTTTTGCGTAGCAAGTTCCAGGCCAGCCAGGGCTACATAATGAGACCCTGTCAACATAAAAAAGAAAGAAAAAGTTAAAAAAAAAAAATTAAGTTTTATTTTTATTTTATTTGGGTGCATGAATATATATATTCATGGGTTGGATTCCTTGTAGCTGGATTGTAGATGGTTGTGAACTGCCATATAGGTATTGAGAAACAAACCTGTGTCCTTTCAAGAGCAATAACCATCTTTCCAATCCTAAATTGTTTAAAATTGTGTGTATGTGTTCAGAGGACAACTTGTGGGGAGTCAGTTCTTCCACTGAGAGGGTTCTGAGAATTAAACTCATTTTAATTGGATTTAGTGCAAATGGCATTACCTTCTGAGCCATCTTGCTAGCCTCATCCATTTTTTTCTTAAGAATTTTATCTTAACCCTGTAGTTCTCTTCCAGGTTTACCCAACTAGAGTTGTTTATGTTGCTCTTCTCATTCCCATTATGTTTTCTTCCAAACAGTCACTAAAGATCTTGGGTGAGAAGGTGTCTGAGATCCCATTGACTAGAGACAATGTGTCTGAGATATTACGCTGCTTCCTCATGGCATATAGAGTGGAGCCATCCTTCTGTGACAGTCTGCGCACCCAGCCTTTTCAGGCCCAACCACCTCAGCAGAAGGCTGCTGTTCTAGCCTTCCTTGTGCATGAGCTCAACGGCTCCACCATTATCATCAAGTGAGGGCTTGGGTGGGAATCATTAATCCTGTGCTGTGCGTACGAGTGTGGTTGGGGAGGGGCTTAGATCTCCATAAGTCTCGTGGTGATATATGTGTGTCACTCTTCTCTGAAGATGCTGGAGTGACTTGGCATAAACTCTCTTTGCCTTCCCAAGAAGATTGTAAGCCTTTCTTTGTCATTCATCCAGTTTGGGGACTAGACTGAAATCCCTGTAGCCCCTTGTAATACTTAATTTTTCTTTTCTTTTTGCTGCCACTTTCTCTAAAAAACCTGTGTTCCCCTGCAGTGAGATTGACAAGACTCTGGAGAATATGTCTAGCTACAGGAAAAACAAATGGATTGTTGAAGGTCGACTTCGGAGGTAGGGATGGGACAGAGTCAGTCTCAAAGAAGGCGAAGCATAGCCATGCTGTTGCCTGGTATGGTGCCCTTCTTTGGTTGGCACCTAGTGAGGGCTCCAAAAAAAATGTACATTTCAGGTGTTTCTTTTTTGGCATCATATTCTTCACCAGTTTCCCTTAATCACTATTTCTTAAGACTGAAAACTGCTCTGGCCAAGCGAACTGGGCGTCCTATGGCTGTGATGGAGGGGCCAGAAGATGGCCTGGGACGTAGGCGTAGTTCTCGAATCATGGAGGAAACCAGTGGCATAGAAGAGGAAGACGAGGAGGAAACTATGGTAGCTGTCCATAGCCGAAGGGGTCGAAGGGATGGAGAGGTACAGACCCAAGGCAAAGAAAAGCACGTGTTAGAAAGTACTCGTTTTTGGATCTGGTTGGTCCCCTTTTCTCAGTGTCTGTTTGTTTCTGTCCAGGTTGATGCTACAGCGTCTAGCATTCCAGAGCTCGAGCGCCACATAGAAAAGCTCAGTAAGGTACTGTGTTTTCAGTCTCGTGGACATTTATCATGTCCGGATAGAAATGTTTTCTCATTCATCTTTTTCCAATTCCCACCCAGCGTCAGCTCTTCTTTAGGAAAAAGCTGCTTCAGTCTTCCCAGATGCTTCGGGCAGTCTCCTTGGGCCAGGACCGCTACAAACGCCATTACTGGGTATTGCCATGTCTGGCTGGTATCTTTGTGGAAGGATCAGAGGGATGCATAGGTAGGTGGATCTGTGGAAGCTTGAAGTCAAACAAAAGTAAACATTTCTTTCTTGTGCCTAGTGCTCTTGCTTTAACCTTACAATGCAGTGGAGTTTGTGAGTATAGGATCCAGAGTAAAATTGTTTGCCTGCTTGTGCTCACATACCAGCTGCATGCTTCTGTTTATTTGTAAGCTGTGGCCATGTGGATAGTAAGCGTACTTCATGGACAACTGAGAATTGGGGCTGGAGAGAGGGCACAATGGTTAAGAGCATGTACTGCTCTTCTAGAGGCCTAAGTTGGGTTCCCATGTCACATGTCTCACAGACTCCTCCTCCCTGTAACTTGAAGGGATCCAGTGCCTGTGGCTTCTACAGGCACACACATACACATAATTAATTTTTTTCAAAGGCTACTAAAACTTAAAATGGCTTGATAACTCTCTAGTGCTTACCAGAGCTTGGGTGTAGCTCAGTGGCTGGTGTTAGCACATCATTCTGGGGTTGATCCCAAACACAAAAAAATGAGACTCACTGTGCATGCTGATAAAGACTGACCTCAGTGCTTGGGAGGCCGAGGCAAGAGGATGTGGAGTTCAAGGCCAGACTGAATTATCCAGCAAGACCCTGTCTCAAGAAGTGCTTAACCTGTAGTTGTTTCTCAGTAAAGTGGTTTAAGATTATGCTGTGGCTAGTCATCATTTAGAGCAAAAGATTCTTACTGGGAGGCACAGGCCAGTTGATGTCTTGAGTTCAAGGCCAGCGTAGTCTACATAGAGAGTTCAGGGCTACATAGAGATACTCTGTTCACTGGCATATAAACTATTAACCAATAGAACTTTTAAAGAGCAAGCATGTTGTTTGTAGATGCCATTACACAGCAGTGTGTCTTAAGCTGTTTGTCTCTTTACAGTTACTGAAGATGGAATAAAGAAAGAAACCGAGTCTTTGATGGAAGCACTCACTTCAACACCCAGCTCTGCCGTCTCTGTAAAGAAGGAGTCAGCTGGCTCCAACACCTCTGCTTCTCCTGCCCGGTCCCGAGGCCGACCTCGAAAGTCTAAGCCCGGGTCTCTGCAGCCTCAGCAGCTCACGCCCACCATTGGGGAGCATGATTCAGAACAAGCAGAGACTCAAGTTCACCCAGGACCTCAGCCCCATCCTCAGCTTCAGGCTTCTACCCAGCTCCACTCGAACAATGGGTTCCTAGAGCCAGAAGGCTCCCCTTTGTCCCTGGGTCAGAGCCAGCATGACCTCAGCCAGTCCGCCTTCCTGTCTTGGCTAAGCCAGACTCAGAGCCACAACTCCCTGCTGAGCAGTTCAGTCCTCACACCCGATAGCAGCCCAGGAAAATTGGACTCCGCTCCATCTCAGTCCCTGGAGGAGCCAGAGCCTGATGAGGCAGAATCCTGCCCTGACCCTCAAGGTCCCTGGTTTAACTTCTCAGCTCAGATCCCCTGCAATGCTGCTCCTACACCTCCCCCTGCAGCTTCTGAGGACCAGCCTCCTCCCTCCCTCCAGCTGCCTGCCTCCTCTAAGTCAGTGAGTAACCAAATCTGTTTGCACTTTATCTTGCCCCAGGCTTCTGTGTCTCACTGTAGCCTGATGTAGGAAATATGTAAACATGGAATATCTTCATTCATTCCTTCATATCTCCTTGTTGACAGATAAATACACCTGGTGCTGCCAGTCTCTGTTCCCCAGTGCAGTTCTCTTCCACCCACTTGCCTGGAGGGGCCTCTAAGAGGCCATCAGGATACTCGGAAGAAATGCCACAAAGTCCCACAGGGCTAGGACAACCAAAGCGTAGAGGGAGACCTCCTAGCAAGTTCTTCAAGCAGGTGGAGCAGCGTTACTTAACCCAGCCGACAGCCCAGCCTATCCCCCCTGGTGAGCAAGCTTGGCTAGGATGGGGTAAACATAGAGGTAATAGCAGTTTGCTTTGTGGGCAGTGTGATTCATGCCTTGTTCCCATCCCTTGTACATACCCTCTCTACACAGAAATGTGCTCGGGCTGGTGGTGGATCCGAGATCCTGAGACACTGGATGTCATGCTCAAGGCACTGCATCCCCGAGGTATTCGGGAAAAGGCACTTCACAAACATCTTAGCAAGCACAAGGACTTCTTGCAGGAAGTTTGCTTACAGCCCTTAGCTGGTAAATAACAGACCTTGACCCTACCTGAGCTGGAGTTTGATGTATGCTATAGTTTGATGGACCACTCTGTCTTCCCAGATCCCATCTTTGAGCCTAGTAAGCTACCTGCCTTGGAAGAAGAAACTATGAGCTGGTCCCCCAAAGAGAAGACTTACGAGACAGACCTGGCTGTGCTTCAGTGGGTAGAGGAGCTAGAACAGCGGGTTGTCCTTTCTGATCTGCAGATTCGGGTACACTGGGATTGGTGTTGGGTAACGAGTTGTTTAAGGGAAGGTTTTGGTTTTGTTGAATTTTTTTGTTTTGATTTATTTGTAGGGGGAGTTGCCTGCATGAATGTTGTATAGCATGTGTGTGCAGTGTACTGAGAGGACAGAAGTACAGGTCCTAAGATCCTCTGGAACTGGAACTTAGGACAGCTGTGAACCACAAGATGTGGATGCTGGGAGTTGAACCTATGTCCCCTTGAGGAACAGCCTGTGCTCTTAGCTGCTGTCCTCTCTCCAGCCGTAGGTTCTGGTTTTTGAGACAAGGGCTCACAAGAAGGCCTGTGACTCAAGGCCTTCTTCCTGTCTCAGCCTTGCAGCTGCTGGGATTGCAGTCATGAGCCACCATACCTGGCTGTGGGGAGGGTGTCAGGAAAGCCCTTGGTTTCTTCTTCCTGAGTGATGTTCCATGACATGAAATGTTTCCCTTTACAATGTGTTTTGCTATTCTTTCCTTCTGGAAGGGTTGGACGTGTCCTAGCCCAGACTCTACCCGAGAGGACTTGACCTACTGTGAGCATCTACCTGACTCTCAGGAGGATCTTCCTTGGAGGGGCCGGGGCAGGGAAGGAGCCGTCCCTCAGCGGCAGAACACCAATCCTCTGGACCTTGCTGTGCTGCGGCTGGCTGTGCTGGAGCAGAATGTGGAGCGGCGTTACTTGCGGGAACCCCTCTGGGCGGCCCATGAGGTGGTGGTGGAGAAGGTCCTGCTGAGCACACCCAATGGTGCCCCTGAAGGCAGCACTGCTGAGATGTGAGTGTCTCCTGCTGCCCAAGGCTTGGCCTGAGAGAGGCAGGACAGTTCTTCCTCATGCCGGGGTCCCCACTCTCCCTGCAGATCCTACGAGATCACCCCTCGTGTGCGTGTCTGGCGGCAGACACTTGAGAGATGCCGCAGTGCAGCCCAGGTGTGCTTGTGCCTGGGCCAGCTGGAAAGGTCCATCGCGTGGGAGAAGTCTGTCAACAAAGTGGTGAGTCTGAGATGCCAGCTAGATGGCTAGCTGGCGAGAGTGGGGTCAGTGATAGGACGGCTGAAGGACTTACGCTGCCTCCTCACAATGTTGGTCCAGACCTGTCTCGTCTGCCGGAAGGGTGACAATGATGAATTTCTCCTGCTCTGTGATGGGTGTGATCGAGGCTGCCACATTTACTGTCATCGGCCCAAGATGGAGGCTGTCCCAGAAGGGGACTGGTTCTGTGCTGTCTGTCTGGCCCAAGTAAGATTTCCCCTGTCTGATCCCCATTCTCAAGAAGGACTCAGAGATTCTCTTTTCCATCCTTTTTTTTTTAACCACTAGTCCCACAGATGTCCCCTACCCCCAAGGCTCTCCCAGGGATGAATGAGCCTCTGACAACATGTTTGGGTTGAGTCTCTGAAAACATCACTTACATTCTTTAGCCCTAGTCTTGTCCTCTTATGAAATAGGAGTAATTACAATTCATGTACTGCGCCTCCCATTGATAATTTGAATGGATTCCCATGCTGGCTTGTGTGTGAGTATTTGAAGCCACAGCCATGTGTGAGCAGGATTCTGGTGAACAGGCGGGCCAGCAACAGCACAGGCCCATACTGCTGCTTACTTGTGCCTGTCCTCAGCAGGTGGAAGAAGAATTCACCCACAGACCTCGTTTCCTAAAACGAGGTCAGAAGCGGAAAAGTGGTTTTCCACTGAACTTCTCAGAGGGTGACAGTCGGAGGCGACGGGTACTGTCAAGGAGCCGAGAGAGCCCAGCAGTGCCTCAGTGCCCACAAGATGGGCCATCTCCCTCCAAGAGACGGAGATTGTCAATGAGAAGCCAGCACAGCGATCTCACATTCTGCGAGTAAGTTAATGAATAGAGATAGCTGCCTATCTCTATGGCAAAGGGGCTGGGAGAGTCAGTGTGTGCTTTCCACACCATAGGGTCATCCTCATGGAGATGGAATCCCATGATGCAGCCTGGCCTTTCCTGGAGCCTGTGAACCCTCGCCTGGTGAGTGGGTACCGGCGTGTCATCAAGAACCCTATGGACTTTTCCACCATGAGAGAGCGGCTGCTCCGGGGAGGGTAAGAAGATGCTCTCTCCTGCTTTTCCATCATCCCTGCCCAGGTAGCTCAGAGCTGATAGCTCACAGCCCTGTCTCCTCTGCCCAGGTACACCAGTTCAGAGGAGTTCGCTGCTGATGCCCTGCTGGTTTTTGACAATTGCCAGACCTTCAACGAGGACGACTCTGAAGTGGGCAAGGCTGGGCATATCATGCGCCGCTTCTTTGAGAGCCGCTGGGAGGAGTTTTATCAGGGAAAGCAGGCCAGTCTGTGAGGCGAGGGAGGTGGGAGTAGCCGTGTGGCATCTTCTCCCACCTTCCAAACAGAGACCTGCCATTCACACCTGCTGATTGGCTGCCCTGGGCGGACACAGGTCAGACAGTGCTGATTCCTGACTCTGCCCTCAGCAGCACCCACATCCTCTTGTCCCTAATCCCTTTTCTCCCTTCCTCCTCTTGCTCCTCAAATAAGAGATGCAGAGATGAGGTCCTTCTGGACGGAAAGCCAAAAAAGAAAGAAATTTCCTGGGTTTTTGTTTTGTTTTGTTTTTGTTTTTGTTTTTTCCCTAATTAAAATGGAGAGGGGTGAAGAAGTCCTCCCCGGTCCCAGCTTCCTCCTTCCCTGTACATGCCCCAGCATCCTGGGGTTATTTAACAATAGCAATAGTTCTAGTGAATGTGTGAAACCAAGAAACACTCTGTACTGTGTGCGGACCCGCAGTGACGGCCAGTAAAGTGGACTTAATTCCCAAGTGTGTCGAGCCGGACACCGGGCCCTGAACATGCTGCTTCCATGTTCAGTCCTTTCCCTGCTCTCGCTTTTTCTCACTTTTTTTTTTTTCTTACTCTTCCCAGTTTTTACAACTTTGTCCCACCCAATAATATAAAACTGTCGTGTACGGGTTCTTCCTTTCCCTTCCCAGCCCCCATCTCCTTCCCCTTATGTGGAAACAAAGTTCAGAGTTCCCTGTCTTTCTGTCCTCATCTTCTGCCAATAGTTAACCCTCTAGGATGCTGGCCCCTCCTCGAGTGCTGAGTTTCTAGCCTTTTCTGAAACTCTGGCTGGGGAGCGGGCAGGTGGGCAGGTGCCCTGGGCCTTCAGGCCTCTTTCCCCTGCTCCCCAAACCTCCCTCTTGGGAACTCCTCAGGGACAACTACTGCTGAGTCTGAGTGCTCCTCCCAGATGGAGGCCAGGTAGCAATTGGCTGGCCTCAGAGAGAGGGGGAGAGAGAGGTGGTTGTGTGTGTGTGTGTGTGTGTGTGTGTGTGTGTGTGTGTGTGTGTGCGCGCGCCCGCGCGCGCCCGCGCACTTGCACACAAATAAGAGCTGTGATCGTAACCCTGTTTAGTGTAATGAGATTCATTCAGTTTCCCCAAATATGTTTTTATTCCCACCTTTCCCATTGTTTCATACCATCACATTTTGTCTTTGGGAAAACATGGGAACTGTTTCTCTGGGGACAAGGCTCATGGTCATTTCTGTTCCAGCCTCTTCAAACTGTGCAATCTTTCCAGCAGGCACTCCCTCTCCTCAGTAGCTTTTTGAGTCTTGAGCTTTCGCTGGGAGAGGAGTAGAACTGGATCTTTCCTAAACCATGAGTATCTAGGTTTAGTTGTGTTTTCCTTCCTCACATATACTGCCTGTCCCCAGGACCCCTTCCCCAGCAGCAGAGACCCTGGAGCACATGATGTGCAAAGGGTCTACCCCTGCCCTGAGTGTGACTAAGCCCAGCTCAAGCCCCCAGCACGTGTGAGGAGAGCTGCTAACTCTGAGCTATAGCCATGGGCCGCCGGTCCCTGCTTTCCTGCTCAGCACAGCCCCTCCCATCAGAAATTACGGGTACTTGCACTGGGGAGGTGGCTGCTAGCTGGCCTAAGCAGAGAGCTGAGGCATCCAAGCAATGTTCTGTGGTGGGCAGAGGGTGCCAGGTGAGGTGCAGCATTCCTTGTACTCCAGCAGTACTGAAGGGGTGGGGCCAGTGCAGGTTCCTGGGCAGTCCCTATTCCTCTCAACTCACCCTCACCCCACTCCCTAACCCCATTGCCTATTTCTAAAGTCGCCTTTTTTGTCGATAAACCTCAAAACTTAATTTTATTTGAGAAATTTTTTTGCTTTTAAATAAGAGGTGGATTGAAGAATATTTGAATTGACTTTATATTATGCATAAATATTTATATTTTATCTAAATAACTGCGCCGTAACAAACTTTGTGTTAGATGTTTGGAACTGTTATAGTTGGGGACAACTTCTTCCCCCGTGGCGAGTTTCCCCCAGCATAAAATGTACTGGAGTCATTCATTATTGGAGGTGAACGGAAGGGAGAGTGGAGCCTTAGCTCTTGGCCTTGTGCTCCTCTCCCAGCCCCACCTCTTCCCCGAGGGACCAGGCACTCTGGGTGGAGGTCCTAGACTTGATGTGAAGAAGTGGGGGCTGAAGGGATTATGGGGTAGGAGAGGGGCCATTTCTCACTTTTCTTTCCTCATCTTCACTGCCCCTCAGCTAGGTGGATTTTCTCTTACTGACAAAGAGTATTTGGTAGGGAAAGCAGGTTAAAAATAAAAGACAACCCACCTTGCCCCTTGTGTTCCCTCCCCTCTGTGGTAACAGCAAGAAACCATCAACACCAACAAGTTTCCATGTTCCTTTACAGCAAAAGGGACTGACTTTTTATATAACCAAATGTGGTGTTTTAGTGACTTTTTGATAATGTACAGTTTTTTGTGAATTTAAATTTATTTCTTTCTATATTTTTAGGACCAATCTCATTTTTAATAAGGTTTAAAAAAAAGTCTAGAGAAAAAAAACCTCGTTTTTGCCATGTGATGTTCCACAGGTGTGGCTGTAGAGAAGTGCTTGTCATTGAATAAACCACATTTGATAGAGACTAAAGAAGACTTGCGTTTTCTCTTCTGAGGTAGTGACTGGGTGTGGGCAGTCAGCTCCCCAGTTGACCTGTGTCCTGTGGGAAGGCAGCCCCATCCTGTTCGGGCGCGGTGGAAAACTCAGTGTACAGGTGTCGCCCATGTGCTGTAACGGCACATCACCAGTGTTCCCTCCATCGTCATGGATAAGATGCTAACACAGGCTTTTGGGTTTCATTTATTTATCTTTTTAAAGAAAAAAGGCTGAAGTTAGCAGAAGTAAAGCTCTTCCAAATCACAGGGAATTTTGGGGACCCAAAGTCAGCCAAGGAGAGCCAGCAGAGCAAGCAAGAGGTAGTGTTGGTACAGACATAGGAGAATATACAACTACAGGTTTCTGGGTACAGGGGGAATATACAAAACCTGTCTTTAAGTATAAATTAACGTGCTCTCCAGTTAAGAAGTAAGACGTGTGCATCCAATAGTTATCACCCGACCCACCCAGTGAGGGGCAGGAACAGAAACATCCCCTTCCAGCCTGTTGAGACTGCAGGCGGCCCTCTCTGCTCTCTGGGGTCTTAAGCTCTGCTGTAAAACTGGTATCTGACCGCACAGCGAAGCCCCTGGCTTGTCATCCAAAGACCCATCTGGGAGGTTCACACTTGCAGGTGAGCAGGGAGCCAACGCCAGAGACGGCAATCCAGAAGAGCAGTTTCCATTTCAAGGAGCTTGCGTTTGGAGACGACAAAAGCACTGAAGGGTGATGCTAAGCAAGGAAGTGTTTGTGCCCTGTTGAACTGTGAGCCTGAGGTAGTTGAATAACGAGGATGAAGAAGCTTGGGGATTTGCCTGGACAGGAAATGCTTACTTAGAACAAGCAGACAAGAGTGGTCATGAGAGTGCTGAGGGTCAAGCTTTTCATCACTGCACATGGAGACCACCTCCAGGGAGGTTCAGAAGGAAAGACACAGACTGGCTGTAGCTGCTTAAGGAAGTAAAGCTGTTGTAGAGCCTGAGTCGACTTCAGGAATCTGAAGCTTGAAGGCACTTTTAGAAGGCAGGCTGCTCAGAAGCGGGCTCACAACAAGCCGCATGTCTTACGGTTACAAGACTCTCCTTGCTCTCTGAACTCAGGTCTGGAAAAGGCTGGGCGAGTCTGGGCCTGACCACCTACTCACTATATTGCTCTTGGCAACAACCAGCCCTTAGCGATGCAGTCCTGACACTTTTTCCGAGGGTGGGGGGCATGCCTACTTGTCTGGGAAGGACAGAAAGCAAGAGCCACAAACTGGTCCTTCCCCCTTGTAGCAAATAATGCTTTGCTACCGTCCCGTCTTTATCATTTTCAAAGCTGCCGTGCTTCACACCTTTGGGCATCTCTTCAAGGCCTTGGGTTGAAAACACTAAAAAAACAACAAAACAAAAAACACATCTATCTCATCATTGTTCCCACATCTGCCAGCACCCTTCTCCAAAAGCCCAGACCGTCTACAGCCTGGGCCAACGAGCCTGGAAGGGACGCTAGTGGCTGGGATGGAGCCTAGTAAAGGATCGCACTTTAAGAGGCATGGACTCTAGTATGTTCTGTCTAACTGGAAACAAAAACACAGTGCTAAAGTATTTTAAGAGTGTTATGGACATCGGTTGAGAGAGATCTGGCCTCTAAGCAAGCAGAATTCAGGAGACACAGGGCATCCTGTTGAGAGCCTAGGGCAGTGTGAAGGGATGGCTTACAACTCTTCCCAGCATCCTAGGAAGCCATTTTGTATGGACCACCCCTCACAGCATACATCCTACTTGTCCCCAGTCACTGCCTCCTGGAGTAGCAAGAGAGGAAAACAGAGTGGATGGAAATCACCAAGCAAAAATTACATAGTGCCATTAACCATTATAAAAACAAAATTAAAGGTTGCCCTCACTTCCCATGCTTCAGACCTGTTCAACCAGAAACACTTGAATCTAACCAGTACACTCACATGAGGGAAACCTCAAAAGGTAATTTCAAAATTTAAAACCATCAGCCATTCAAATTGCTTTAGAACTACAGAGAAAAAAAACATTTTTAAGGCAGCAATGGGTCAGCAGTGACTACAGGACCCTGATTGTCAGCAGGAATGCCCCAGTCTACTGAACAGAGTGATAAATAGAATTCTGGCTTTGCTCTCTGGCACAGAGGGCTGGAGGCCTTTAACTGGATATGAGGGTGGAAGCTCAGTGGGAAAACCAGTGGTTGTGTACTTAATACTCTGTGCTCTCAGCCCCTTATTCCCAGAAAGCACAGCACAGCCAGGCCTGGAGTCCCAGTCTGCAGTGTGCATAGCTGCTGAGCCAGTCTCTCACCCCATGCCTACCCTGCCTCTCCCCCGGACACGTTTCTCTCTCTCATTACTGTCTAGTGGAGATGTGAAGGGGATGTGTCACATTGTGGGGAAGGCCTTGTAGGGGGTGGGGACACTTAAAGACAGGCACTTTTAAAGGTCCCTCCTGACCTTGTAAGGAGCTGGGTATATTATTGCCTTTTTCTAGTCTAGCACCCCGTTGTCCTTCCACAAGAAGGAAAATGATTTCTGGTGTTCTGGTTCCCTGGGGAAGGGGTCCAAACACACCAGGGCTGGGCAGGGTAGTCTGCTCCTGAGCCAGGTCCTTCCTCAAGCACACAGAGCAGTTCTCACTTTCATCCCTTCAAACTGCACTTGGCACGTGCATACAACCAAGGGTGAGCCCCGCTAAGATGGCTCCTGCTGAATTAAGTGATTCAGCAAGGTACAGCATGAGTACAGCAGCGTGCAGCTTGGGGGAGATACTGTGACACCCAGGCAGAAAAGATCCTCTGGGAGGCAGAATGGTGAGAATTCAAAAGTCAGCTGCCACCGCTGGTCAGTTCCATGAACTTTACAGGCTCCGTGTCCAGGGCTGGGCTGGGGATTTCTCCTACTCCAAAAGGCAGGGAAATACTTTTATCTTAAGGCTTCTATTCTGAACCAGATAACTCTGCAGGGCGTGAGATGGAAGGGGGGGGGGTGCGGGGGGGCTGAGGTTCTGTCAGGTATTCAGGGCCATCCTTGGTCTGCAACAAGTATTTGCCCAGCGCACGTGACCAGTCTTCAGGCATGGTGATCAAGGATGATAGACAGCAGCAGAGATGGCAAAACCACCTCTAGGTAAAGTGAAGGGCAGAACGTCCTCAGCAGGGGCAGGAGCTGGGTGAGACCTGGGTCAGAACGAAGACCCTCCAGGGGGCAGAGCAGGCGTTCCCAGAGTGCTGGAGCTGGACGGCAAGGTACAGTGTGAGTACAATGGCACTTGCCACCACTTGCTTGAAGGGTGGCTTCCAAAGGCTGCACGGTTGTCACAGGTCTGCTTCCTGAAGTCAAAGTCTTGTCTCCTAGGAGACGAGTGCCCTCCTAGAAGGGCAGTGGAAAAGCCACCTCCGTTGTCTTCATTTCTCTACCTGGGCGTTGCTCTCTTTCCCCCAGTTCCATATGGAATTTGAATCAAATTTAAAAGTTAAAAACTGTAAAAAGGCAAGGTAGGCAGGTTCAGCTAAACGGAGAAGAGAAAAAAGCCACCTGGACAAGAAGTTTAAAACTATAGCCAGGCATAGTGGGGCGGCCAGGAGACAGAGAGGATCTCTGTGAGTTCAAGGCTGACCTGGTCTATGTTCCCAGCCCACATGTGAGATCTTCCCTGCCTTAAAGGGTAGGAGGTGCAAAATGTGAGCTGAGAACTTTGCAAAACAAAAATTTTAAGCCTGCATATTTAAACACATACCGACACATATCAAAAATAGTCCATAACTAAATTCAGCAATCAGGGCTCCTTCATCAATTTTCCAGCACTGATATTTTGTTCTTCAGCAATCCCAACATATCCAACCTTTTCATGAAGATGAGAAGCAGCTCAGTCAGGATCTTTGGGGTAGAAGAAAGGTCAATGCAATTAAATACAAAGCAAGAAACTTTCTTTCTTTTTTTTTTTTTTTTTTTTTTTTTGCATAAGAACAGTCTTTTTGATCTTGAATATAGCACATACAAAAAGCAACATGGTTTCAGCGATGGGAAAATAGCCCAAGAAGGAGTGCAGGCTTTTCCCTGGCCCGGGCCTATGAGGGAATGATGGCCACATGTTAGTGCTCAACACTGTCTGCAGATGGGCTTGTAACTTGAACTTTCTGGAGTGTGGGAGCATCTCCAAAGACGGGGGCAAGAATCCTAAAGGAGGCATGAGCTGGAGAGGGTCTGGAGGGCACGGCAACCTGTCTGCTACAGAACAAACGGCCGGCAGCTATCGCCCAGGTCAGGGTCCGTCCTTACAGCATTCTTACCTCATTACTTGCTGAACTGGAAAGGAAAGAGCCCGTGCTCTGAGGGGGCCTCCACTGCCACTTGGTTCTGCTGACCACTGCTCTCCTGTATCACAGCCAAGGAAGGTGACTGAAGCATTCCTTCGGTCACCTCCCACAAGCCCACTGCCTAAACGCAAGTGTGCACACAGCATCCAGGCTGCTGGAAAGAGGGCATGAAGTGGTCCAGCCACCTTGGAAAATACTGAAGCAAGTGCTCATTTTCAGAGCATTGAAGCAACTGGCGTTAGCAACCCGCTCTAAACTGAAGTGATCAGGCTAACCCCAGTGAAAGCCCTTCTCGCCCCACCAGCGAGGAAGAGTCAGCAGTGCTGTGAGAGAGTTGCTCAGGACAAATCTGCCTCACTGCAAAGAAATAATGTTCCTACCTCAACAGAAACACTGGAAGAAGGCACGCTGGGGTACTGGGAGACGTAAGCTCCTTGCATAGCGGCAGCTGCTGGCATGAACTGGAACGAAAAGGTGTTTCTCGGCTAGTTTAAAGCACGTGGGAGCTTTGGGAAGCACCTGCGCTGGTGTGAGTGCTGCTTCGATGTGTTCCTGGGCAGCCAAGGGCACCGGCCAGACACCGGGCAGCTTCACTTCCTCTCCTCTTACCGCCTTCCTCCACACCCTCGCTTCACCTCCCTGCTGATTGGCAGCCAGGTCTAAAGGAAACCTGAGCTTCATCTCTTTCCTGTTATGGTAGTCTATTAGTTCCAGGGAATATGCATGATGCCTAAGCGAATACGCAAATTTTTAGGACCCATTAGTTCTGTGACTGCAAGGCAGGTAAAAGGTAGGCAGGGGGCAGAATGGCTTACAGATTACAGACTCTTGTTTATCAATGACCTTGAACTTTTGACTTTCTTCCTGCCTTCTGGCAATTATTCCTGGTTCTGAGTTCGCTCTCACTCTCCCTGCAACACTTCCATCCTGCATAACTACTTGTGCCTAGGAACACTGCACAGGCAGTTCTTACTCGGCAGGAGTGGGTAAGAGACAGTCCTTTACCGTGCCCAGGCTGTTGAGTGACAGGTGGCCCAGTTGCTGGGTAAGATGTCCCATCATGGAGGCAGGCTGCAGAGAGAGGGGGTGCTCCATCCCTGGGGTCAGAACTGAGCCCTAGAGGAGGCAATGAAAGAAATGGTTAGGCAGCACGCGCTCATGCTGCAAACAGGGCCACCAACAGTTTGTTTACTTTTGTTTTCGTTTTTTGACAGTTACTCTTTGGAATTCTGGCTGTCCTAGAACTCTCTTTGTAGACCAGGCTGGCCTTGAATTCATAGAGATCCACCTGCCCCTGCCTCCCAAGTGCTGGGATTAAAGGCTTGTGCCACTGCACCCAAAGGTTTATTTGCTTTGTAAGGATACTTTATTAGCTGCACTCAGGTGGGAAGCAAACTGCACAGGAACTGGAGTACTGTCTGCTGACACTTTCAATCCTGAGACCGACTCTGGGCAGTAATCCAGCTCTACCATAGGAACAGCACCCTGACCTCCAGTCTGCAGGTGTCAGAACGAGGGCTCACTGTTGGTCTGCACAATGCTCTGAGCCAGAACTCACGCCCACATGCCCTGCTATCCAAGCCCTTTGCATTTCTTTGCATCAGATGGTCTCTTTTGCTCCTGCCCACTTGTGAACACTCACTGAAGGCAGGAGGTGCGGCTGGTGCTGCATCCAAGATGGGTTAGGTACTTGTAGAGGGGAGGTCTGAGTCGTTCTCTGACACAAGCAAAACAAAGAAGACGTTAACTGCCTAGGCTCAGGGACTGTTCAGCAAAGCCCCCCACAAGCCGACATGTCCCTTCACAACACAAGCTGTTAGACAGGAGGTGGACGCCTTTAACACTAGCACTCGGGAGGCAGAGGCCAGTCTGGTCTACAGAGGGAGTTCCAGAACAACCAGAGAAACACAGAAAAACGTTGTCTCAAAAACAAAACAAAACAAAACAGCTGTTTTTTGCTGGACATGGAAAACAGAGGCAGCTGAGTTTCTCTGAGTATAAGGCCAGCCTGGTCTTCATGGAGAGTTCCAGACGAGCCAGTGCTACACAGTGAGACCCTGTCTCAACAACTTCAAAAATTAAAAAGAACAAGTCAGATAACCTAGTTAAAAATAAGCAAAGGGGCTGATGAAGTAACTAAGCAGGTAGCATCTGCTACCAAATCTGATGACCTGAATTCTTGATGACCAGAACCCACTGGGCAGACAAAGAGAACCTTCAGCCTACATACATACAGAGGGAAAAGGAGAGAGAAAGACAGATAGACTGAATAAATGTGATTTTAAAAGAAGATAATGTAGCTGGGTGTGGTAGCACACACCTCTAATCCCAGCACTCAAAGAGCCAGAGGCAGGAGGATTGCTGTGAGTTCGAGGCCAGCCTAGTCTACAAAAGTGAGTCCAGGACAACCAGGGCTACACAGAGAAACCCCCCTGTCTTGGGGGAGAAAAAGTGTGTGTGGGGGGGGGGAGAGAGAGAGACAAAGAGAGAGAGAGAGGATGATGATGATATTGGGGGCAGGAGATGGCTCAGCAGTTAAGACCTCGTTATGCTCCCAGAGAACTCTGCTTTGGTTCCCAGCACCTGCACAGTAAGCTCAAAGGCATCAGTTCTAGGGGCTCCAACACCTTCTGACCTCAGGCACAAAGCACACACTTAGTGCACATGGATATACGCAAGCGAAACACTCAGACACAGCCAGGCGTGGGGGCGCACGCCTTTAGTCCCAGCACTTAGGGAGGCAGAGGCAGGTGGAGCACTGTGAGTTTGAGGCCAGTCTGATCTACAGAATGAGTTTCGGGACAGCCAGGGCTGCACAGAGAAACCTTGTCTCAAAAAAAAAAACAAAAAACAAACAACAACAAACTAATCATATACATAAAGTAAAAGATGTTGTGAGAATAACATAAAATATGTTAAATATGGTTATATCTTTATAAAAAAGATTACTCCCAAAGCCCCTTTCATATGTATTTACTCACATGAAAGTGAAATGCAGTAGAAGTGAACATGACTTTGTTTGGGGTTTTGAAAAGAGGCTGACTTTTATTTATTTGTTTGTTTGTTTGTTTTTAAACAGAGTCTCTCTTATGTAGACCAGGCTGGCCTCATACTCACAGAGATCCACCTGCCTCTGCCTCCTGAGTGCTGGGATTAAAGACGTGCGCCACCATGCCAGCTCATGAGAATGCCTCTGGAAGTGGTGATAGACGCATTCACATACAGGAATACATGTTGTTTTTGTACATACACAAATCACACGTTACACTCTTAGATCCCATTGCTTGTGTGTACAATGTAGAAAAGCTTCATATTCATCCACTTAACACACACAGCAGGAAAAGCCGCACACCTTACCTGATAGGACACAGGAGATGGAAGATACGGGGAGAGTGCAGACTGAGCCAGCATCCGGCCGTGTGCAATGTTGTAAGGGGCTGGGTAGAACCTGTAGAAATGGGCTTTGTTCAATGAGTCGCCTTAGGAAACTGGAGCTGCCTCCACTCACTGCTTTTTGAGAACCAAAATGAAACACCCAAATGCCTAGACACAAGCCATTGACATTCTCAGGTGACTTGATTAGAGGAAATAGCCTTACCCATTTTGAAGAGCTGTGGTGGGGTCATAGGTCAAGGCCATACCACCCTGTAAGAAAGAATGCAGGGTTCATATTGCAAGCTCAGAGTCCACCCACAGGTCCCATGACAGGTTTCCGGGGACATATCAGGTTGTAAAACTGTAAGACTGCACTGGAGCAAGGAACCACTCGGCAGGGCTGTGCCTCAACCTGCCTCAAGCTTGCCACAGAAACCAGGCTGCAGCCCTTTCTAGGGCCTCTGCCTTCTTGGACATCTTTTTACCATGTCTCCATTCCTTGGCCAGGCCCGTCCATTTTGCACAAATTTTCCTTGGTTCTGTCGTTTCTTTGGCCCGCCATCAGCAAACTTGCAAAGCAAGGGGTCAGATGGCGCTGGGGAGAGAAAAGGCAGAGTTGCTGGGCCATTATGCAGTGCTCACTCCTCCAAGGCTCCCAGCCCGAGTCCCAGAGGCCTCACCTGCTACTCCAGGGGGCGTCTTTATATACTTTCCATTAAAGTGGGTGATGATGGCTTCACACTTCTCTGTGGACTCCATCCTACGACGCACATGAGGAATAAGGCTCTCACCTGTCCAGGGTATGCATTCTACACACATCCAGTGAGAAAACCCAGGTTCCTACTCCCACAAACGCTCAAGAAGTTCTGTGTGACACAGATATGAAGTTTCTGTCACACGTGTTCACTTGAAGGTATCTTTCCTTTTTTATTTTAAAGACTTACATATCTATTATGTGTACAGTATTCTCCCTGCAGGTACGTCTGCACGCCAGAAGATGGTTGTAAGCTATCATGTCAGTGCTGGGAATTGAACTCAGGACCTTTGGAACAGCCAGTGCTCTTAACCTCTGAGCCATCTCTCCATCCCCACTTTTAATTTTTTTTTTTTTTAAGACAGGGTGTGTGGGCATATACCTCTTGCTGGCATCAAAACCTCTATCTAAAGGTGGCTTTGATCCGATTCTCCTGCCTCAGTGTTGCACCTGCAGAAACGCTCCAGCATGTCTGATTTTTATGCTGCGGTGGAGATCATCATGCAGGACAATCAAGCACTCTACTGACTGAGAACACCCCTGGCCCTTCACTGTAAACTCCTGATGGAGGGCTGATAAAATGGAAAGGCACTGGCCAGCTGGCCCAGCAACTTGAGTTCTTTCCCCAGAACCCACACGGTATAAGATAAGTGCCAGCTCCTGCTGGTTGTTGTCCTCTGACCTAGAAACATGCGCTGTAACACACGAACATGCACATTTGTACACACAAAGACAAATAAATGTAAATTTTTCTTCAAGTGTCTCCTGAACAGTTTTTTAAAATTCCTAATGATGGTGGCACACACCTTTAGTCTCAGCACTTGAGAAGCAGAGGCAAGTGCATCTCTGAGAGTTTGAGGCCAGCCTGTATCTACTTATCAAGTTGCAGGCCAGCTAGGGCTAAAATGAGACCCTTCCTCAAAAAAGGGGTGAGGTGAGGTGGAGCAATGGCTCAGTGGGTAAAAGTCCTCATTGCTCTTGCAGAGGAGCCGGGTTCTGTTTCAAGAGCTCACAACTGTGTATAACCCCAGCCACAGGGAATCTGAGGCGTCCTCTGACCTCTGCAGGCGACAGTCTCACACACACGGCGCACAAACATACATGCAGGCGGAGGACTCAGACACAAAAATAAAACCTAAAAGTTTCATTTCCTTGATGAAGCTATAGAAGCTGTGGTTTGTTAATATTTATTTTCATTTCCGGCAGTAATTATCAAGGCCCAGTTAGCTATGGCACATTGTTGACTGGCAGTTAAAGCCAGTCACTGAGCCATGGCTCAGTGGGTGCAGGTACTGCAGCCAAGATGGATGACCGGAGTGATCCCCAGAACCCACATAGCAAAGGGTCAGAACTGACTCCTGTGGGTTTTCCTCAGGCCTCCACATACATAAGTGCTACGCATACTTGTTCTCCCTGCAGGGTTTCTCTGTGTAGCCCTGGCTGTCCTGTAGACCAGGGTGGCCTCAAACTCAGAGATCCACCTTCTCCCACCTCCCAAGTGCTGGGACTAAAGGTGTGTGCCACCACCCGGCATAAAGGGGTTGAGGGCTCGTGCTCCACGGTGATAGAGAGGGACATGTCAGGACTCTCTCTGCCACATACAGTGCCCACAGCGCACCAGGGGCCATCCACCACCTGAGCTCTGCAAGCTGGAGCACTCAGGAAAACCGACCGTGCCACACGCACAGCGCCCACAGCGCAGGCTCCTGAGCAGCTCCTGCTTGCTTTTTATTTTCTGAAATGGGAGTCTTGTTGGATAGCCCATGTTAGCTCTGAACTGCAGATCCCCCCCACCCCCCGTCTCGGTCTTCACAGGCTGGGATTTCAGTAGGTCAGGGGCATGAGTTTGACCCCTGGAACCCACATGGTAAAACAGGAGAACTGATTCCTAAAAGTGGTGCTCTGACCAGCTGTGTACTCCTGCCATGGCACATCCAGTACCCACACATATACACATCCGTGCAAGCTTGCAAAATAACAAATAACGTGTAATAAAAATAAAAATGAATAAACCGAACACTGGCAGTTCTTTAATCCCAGCCACTGGGGAGCTGGGGTTCACTCCACCTAAACCACAGGGTGAGTGCAAGGCCAGTGTGGTCAGTTTAGCAAGACCCTAAAGGTCACCTCATCACAACCTAGAGCCACAGAAAGACAGTCACAATGAAGAACTGCCTATGAGTCGACCTATGAGCAGGTCCCTGGCGGTCTGTCTCCCATTCACTCTTGTGGGCAGTGCCATTCTCTAGACAGGGGACCCTAAGCTTTGTAAGACAGGCAAGTGCCCGTGCATGGATTCATTCTGTTGCAGACTTGGTTTTTTGACAGGGTCTCACCACATAAGGTAAAAAGGCTTGTAACTTACCACATAAATCAGGCTGGGCCTCAAACTCAGAGAGATCTGCCTGTATCTGCCTCCCAAGTGCTGGGATTAAAAGCAAATGCCACCTCGCCTGAATAAATCTCTTTATTTAAAACAAAGCCAGCCTGGATGGTTTCGCATCAAGACCATATCATGTCTCAAATTTTTTTTAAGAATCAAATTTTAAAAAATTCTTTTAAAAAGTGGAGAGTCAAAAAGCCATGAACACAACCCCAGTGAAATTTTCTCTTGTCATACCTGGCGTTGCCATTAGGTGGTGCTAGTCACCCTGAGCTTGTTCAGAACATTTTTTCCCCTAGCCACAGCTTTTATTTTATTTGGGGTGGGGTGTTCTTTGAGACAGGGTCTTGTGTAGTCCAAGCGCTCCCCATCCTCTTGCCTCTATCTCCAAAATGTTAGGATCATAGGGTGGGCCACGATACCCACTTCACTCCCAGTCTGAGTACTCATGGGCAGACACTGGAACACAAAGGCTCTAACCCTAACCCTGTGAGCTAAAAACAATTAACAACTAACAAAGCCCTGGCTGTGCTGGATTCCCTTTGTAGACAAGGCTGGCCTCCAACTCACAAGACAATCCACCTGCCTCTCCCTCCCAAGTGCTAGGATTACAGGTGTGTATCACCACCACCAACTGGCTTCTGTTGTTGCTTTAATTTATTCTATGGGCATTAGTGGGAAGGTGACAGATCCCTTGGAATTGGTGTTACTGACAGTTGTGAGCTGCCATGTGGGTGCCAGGAATTGAACCTAGGTCTTTTGGAAGAGCGATGCTCTTAACCACTGAGCCATCTCTCCAGCCCCCTGTTGTTCTTGAGACAGACTCTTAATAAAATCAACTCAGAGCTAGCTGCTGTGGCACACATCTGAAATACCAGAACTCAGGGAGGCAGAAGCAGGCAGATCCCTGTGAGTTCCAGGCCAGGCTGGTCTATAAAATTAGTCTAGGACAGCCAAGGCTACACAGAGAAACCCTGCCTCAAAAATAAATAGATAGATAGATAGATAGATAGATAGATAGATAGATAGATAGATAGACAGATAAATGAATGAATGAGTGAGTGAATGAATGAAATCAACTCAGGCTGACTTTAAAATTTCTATGTACCTGAGGTGAGCCTCAAAATCAATGACCTTCCTGACTTCTCCTTGCAAGCACACGGGTCACAGGTGTACCCAACACCCACACAGTTTTTGGGTTTTTGGAAGACAGTCCTGTAACCTAGGTCACCCGACACCATGCTGGAGATCAAACGGGTGTTATGCTTTGTAGGCAAGCACTCCACCCACTGAGCCTCACCACCAGCCTGTTTTGAGACAGGGTCTCACTATGTCACGCGCACTAGCTTGGCGCCCGCCACTCTTTCAGATATGCTGGCTGACCTTGCAGCAATTCTACTGCCTTTGTCTGCCCAGTGCTGGAACTAGAAGCTTGTGTCTGGCTCAAAAAACAGTCTTTACAACAATTTTTTACATGTATTTATTTTGTGTGTGTGGGCATGTGAGTGGGGGTCGAAGGACCTGTGGGAGTCTCTCTCTCTACCATTTGAGTCTGGGGTTCAGACTCAGGCTGGCAGGCACCTCTACCTGCTAAGCCATCTTGCCAGCACCCAAACAAAATCTTAAAATAAATAAATAAATAAATAAATAAATAAATAAATAAATAAATAAATAAATAAATAAGCAAGCAAGCAAGCAAGCCAGCCAGCCAGCCATTTTCAGGTAGGCGGGGGTCAGCTGAAGCTCCATGACACCTAAGCCCAGAAGAGGGCAGCCTAGAGAACAGGACAGATCTGAGTCGGTCTCCACAGAGAACGCTAAGGCTCGTATGTCCTACATCACAGGGCGGCCACGGCAGCGTTTGTTCTAGGATGCAAGTCTTCCTAAACATCTGAGAAGGCGGAGCAAACCTTCCACTTCAGGCTGATCTGAGGACCAGGTGCTGCTCTGCTGTCCCTTCCTTGGGAAGAGAGGTAAATCTGGGGTACAGGCTTGAGAGAGCATAAATGAGGTAGAAGAAAGGGAAGTCTCAGCTCAAAACAGAACCATTCTGTTCTGAGTCAGAGGAACAAAAGCTAGGCAGGCAATGGGAACAGGATGAAGAGGGGGTACGGTGAATTGTGTGGAGCAGGCCTAGAATCCCAGCTTTTGGGAGGGCGAGGCAGCAGGATTGCAGCCAGTTAAATTAAGTGCTAGACCCTTGGCTCAATAGTCAGCACGCACACATACAAACTTGATTTACTATCAGGCAATTTTGATTGCATTTGATATATTTATTGTGTGTGTGCCAAAGGCACAGTACATGTGAAGGTCAAAGGACCATATGCTGGTGTCATTTCTCTCCTTCCACCATGTGGGTGCCAGGAATCAAACTCGGGTCATCAGGCTTGGTGCAAAGTGTCTGTACCTGCTGGGCCACCTTGCTGGCTCTTATCAGGGATTTTTAAAGATTATTTTGGTCCATGTAAAGGGGAAGGGGACTGTGTGTGTCTGTGTATGTGTCTCTCTCTGTGTGTGTGCCTATGTGTGTCTGTGTTTGTATGTCTGTGTGTGTGTGTCAGTGTATGTGTGTCTGTATGTCTGTATCTGTGAGTATGTGTGTGTGTGTGTGTGTGTGTGTGTGTGTGTGTGTGTGTGTGTATGTCTGTGTTTACCTATGTATGTATGTCTGTGTTTGTGCCTGTGTGTGAGCCTGTGTATGTGTGTCTGTACATTTGGGTATCTGTGTCTGTGTGTATGTGTCTGTCTGTGTGTCTATGACTGTGTGTTGTTTCCTAACTTATTTCTTTTCAGCCACTCTTAGCCTTCTCTTACCTTGCAAAGCCAACCCCTCTGCTGGTCCCACTAGTGTCTCGAAGGATTCGAGTAGAGATAACCTGGCCAAAGGGCTTCAGCATCCCCTCCAGTTCCTGCTCATCCATCGACAGTGGGAGGTTTGAGATGTACAGGTTTGTAGGGTCTTGCTCCTGTTGCTGTGAACATCAAGGTGAAAATGGAGGCTTAGGGGCTGGAGAGATGGCTCAGTGGTTAAGAGCACTGGATGCTCTCCCAGAGGTCCTGAGTTCAATTCCCAGCAACCGCATGGCAGTCATAGATTGAGATCTGGTGCCCTCTTCTGGTGTGCAGACATACATGTAGGCAGAACATTGTATACATAATAAATAAATATAAAAAATTAAAAAAAAAAAAAAGAAAATGGAGGCTTACGTCTTCATTCCCATCCCATCCTCAGTCCTCACAGACAAAATGACCTTCGAGGGAAGGAACAGTAGGAGGGTTCCAAACAAAGTGAGTCTTGGCATCCGGTCCCACCCCACACACTGCACACCTAGTCCAGGAAGAACATCAGAGTTTCTGCTGTGTCCACACCTGCACAGTGCAGCCACACAAGCCACCAGCCGCGCCTGGCTGCATCTTCAAGAAGCAGGCAGAGCAAGCCTCCTCCTGGCCCACAGCAGCCTGGCCCAGAGGCGAGACTCCCTTGGCCTGCCTTGTCAACTCCACAGCTGTCAATTTCTCTTTTCTACCTCAGTAGACTTGCCTAGGGGGGAATGTCTGTCACTCACAGCTGGAAGGGAAGCTAGAGAAAGAGAAGGCAGCAGAGGAAGGGCTGAGGGACTGTTCAGTGTTTACCTTAAGCAAGAGGCTGCACCTCAAGTGAGAGAGGGGCGGGTGGGAGTTCCTAGATGGCACAACTTACAAGGGTAGTTCTGCCCTAGGCTGTTCTTTTGCTGTTCCTGTTTTGCTTTGGTTTAGTTTTTTCCAAGTATATGTGTGTGTGTGGCTGGGTTTTTTGTTATTGTTTTGAGACAAGGTCTCACTATGTACCTAAAGATGAACTTGAACTCCTGGAGCAGGTCTGAGGTCTGGTTCCTGAGCTGTGATTTCAAGACTGCACATCATCACTCTGCCTCAGTCAGTAGTTTCCAACAACCAACAAGCCCACGTTCAACTTCAGTTTCCTTTCCTTCTGTGTTTGTCCCCAAATTTTATTTTTTACATCCATGGGTGTTTTGCCTATGTGAATGTCTGCATACCAATGCATGTACTGTCCACAAAGGCCAGAAGAGGGCACTGGATCCCCTGGAACTGGAGTTGGGATGCTTTTAAGGTATAGGTAGGTTCAGGGAACTGGACTAAATCCTTTGGACGAGCAGGCACTGTGCTTCTCTCTCTTTCCTTTTTTTCCTTTAGAGACAAGGTCTCACTCTGCAGCCTAGGCTGTCCTGCAACTCTTCAGCAATTCTTTGCTGTCTTCCAGTGCTGGGATTATATACCTGAGCCATCACGCTCAGCTTCAGTTTTCTTTAAGCGTTAGCAAAAAGAAAGGCTATCTTGGGGCTGGAGAGACAGCTCTTCAGTTAAGAGCACTGGCTGCTCTTCCAGGACTTGGGTTCAATTCCCAGCACCCACACAGCGACACACAACCTACTGTAACTCTAGTTCCAAGGATGCTTCAAAGTATCCAAGATGCCTCAACAAGGCAAAAGACATTTCCTCCTGGGTGATGGGGGCGGGGTGAGCACACAAAATTCTCAGCTCCAGAGAGATCAGAGCAGGAGGTTCAGTTCTCTCTCTCCCTTGCTCTAGCTTCCTTCCCTCCCCCACCCTTTCCCAGCACACCCCTGCCCTATGGGAGCAGTGGCAGGCCATGTAACATTCTTCAGGGCCTGAGTTGCACAACTGGCTTCCTCAGAGAATGTTGCAAAACTATAACCATCTGTCCCTAGGAAAGTGGAGCCAGGGTGGAGCCAGGGAGGCAGCAGCAGGAGAGCCAAGAGACCTGGCCCTCCTGCCTGCCGCACACAGCACAGTCTTCTCAGCATGCCTGTGCCCAGAGGCCACCAGAAAGCCCTGCAGAGGATTAGAAAGACGGCCAGGACCGAGTCCAGTTACCATCACCCACATCAGGTAGCCCCGCAATGTGGGTGTGCATGCATACACAAACACACATGCACACACATGCACACACACACGCACACATGAACACACATGCACACAGATACACACAGACACGTGAGCACACACATACATACACAGGCACACAGGCACACACACACACACACACACACACACACACACACACACACACACACTGGCACTGCAGACAATTCTTGCCCATCCACTTCACTTCCGAAGCACTCTGGGGCATTACCTTTGCCATTTGTGCCTGCACGCCACTAGCTTTCAGTGCGGCTACAGCCTTCTGGGCCGCTGAAGGGCTGTCAAAGTCCACAAAGCCGTAGCCTGCAACAGAACAGCATCACGGGAACGTGGAAGGTGTGAGAAAGGTGGGAGGCCCTGGCTTGTCAGGACAGAAGAGTTAGGGTCCCAATAAATGGTGTAGCGGGGAGAAAGAGATTGCCTGCAGGTCCGTGTGACGCCTCACCCAGAGCTCAGGTCTTGTGGCTGAGAATGCTGAGGAGAATGAGGCCCTTGTGGTGTTCTGCCCTTCTCCTTCTCCCTAAGAACCTGCGGCTTCAGACGGAAGGCATTAAATCCTAGACTTCATGCACTTCTAAAAGACCCCCACCTCTTCTCTAGACAGCCCCCAGAAATGCTGGGCAGGGAGGAATACAGCAGTCTAAGCTTCCCTATCCAAACCATGGCCACCTTCCCTGTTCTTCCAGCCCGTCCCTAAAGGCTCAGACCCCCCATAAGCCCTCAGGGCTGTCCTCTGGCTCCTCCCGGCCCAGGGGTACTCAGACTCAGACGGCAGGAGGCAGAGGCACTAAGAGAGCCAGATTCTTACCTTTGCACTTGTTCGTGGTCTTGTCCAGTATGGCCTTGGTGGACACAATCTTGCCATATCTAAGGGAAAGGGACATGCAGAGTGATGATGGGGCAGGACGAAAAGCTGGGCGCTATGCCGCACACCTGTAATCCCAGCACAGCACTCAGGAGGCAGAGGCAGGCGGACCTCTGTGAGAAGCCAGCCTGGTCTCTCTAATAAGCTTCAGGCCAACCAGACCTACATGGCTTCGTGTTTTTGTTAGTTTTCATCACTGTGACAAAATGCCTGGCACAAACCCTTTTTAAGGGAGAAAAGACTCCTGCGGCTCCTGGTTTCAGTCCAGCACAGCAGAGAGGATGAGGCACAACCGCTCACAGCTTGGTGGGGGGGGAGCGTGAGCTACCTCCCGTGTCCCTCCCGGTCCACCTCGCCCATCCCATAGACTCGGGGAAGATCGCCCTGCTTGGTTTTACCTCCCAGGAAAACCTGTCCCTGGCATACCCAGATATGTACTTTGCAATCTCAGAGGCTGCTATGGTTTGCCTGGGAAATGTTCCTCATGTCCTGTGGCTGACTACCTGGTTTCCAGCTGGTGACGCAGTTTTAGGAGGTGAAACCACACTGCAGTGAAAAGGCACCCAGGAGTGAACAGCCTAGTCCTCCCCGGCTGCCCTTTGCTTTGCTGAAGTCCATGACCAGCCACTCTTGCTACCAGCTGTCCCTGCCAAGATGGACTGCATCCCCTTGAACTCTGGCTAAAACCAGCCCTTCTTCACTTAATTTGCTTTTTGTCAGTTTGTTGTTACGGCAAAGACAAAAGTCACTACATAGCTTTTCAGTCTTATTTGATAGATAAGGTCAACTGTCACATGATATAACCTAACCCACACAGGCACCACATGAAACTGCTGTCCTGACAATTCCAACATATTTAAGACACGTCTGGGGACAGTAGATAAAGCCTGTAAAGGCGAGCTCGAGCTTAGCTGGAATTCTTTGAGGAACAGAAATAATTCTTTCTTTCTTTTTTGCAGACAAGGTTTTTCTTGTCTGCAAGGTTTTTCCAGACAAGGTTTCTCTGTGTAGTCCTGGCTGTCCTGGAACTCACTCTATAGACCAGGCTGGCCTCAAACTCAGAGATCTGCCTGCCTCTGCCTCCCAAGCCCTGGGATTAAAGGTGTGTGCCACCACAGCTTGGCTAGCAGAAACAAACTGTTTGTTTGTTTGTTTGTTTGTTTGTTTGTTTGTTTGAGACAGGGTTTCTGTGTGTAGCCCTGGCTGTCCTGGACTCTCTTTGTAGAGCAGGCTGGCCTTCAACTCACAGAGATCCGCCTGCTTCTGCCTCAATGAGTGCTGGGATTATTGGCATGCGCCACGGCTCCCAGCCAGAAATAATTATTGAGTCTTTTTTTTTTTTTTTAGACAAACAACATTCATCTTATTAAAAATAATAAAATAAATCCTAAGAGTTGGCTCAGCAGTGAAGAACACAGGACTTGGGTTGGATTCTTAGCACCCACGTAGCAGCTCATAACTGTCTGTGACTCCAGCTTCCCTGGGAATCCAGCACCCTCTCCTGGCCTCTGTGGGCACCAGCATGCACACTGTGCACAAATACATGCAGGCAAAACACCCAAACACATAAAATAATGTAAAATTAAAACTAAATACTTTAAAAATAATAAACATTCTTTCTTCTGATCTCCTACTGCCAGCACTCTATTGATCTCGTATGTGGAGGCCAGCCTGGTCCAAACTGCTTTGGCTCACATCCCAGCCCTGCCACTTTCTAGCTATGAGTGATCTTGGATGCGTCCTATGATCTCCCGTGTCTTGGTCTCAACACTACAACCTTATCCCAACATTTTTTTAGGGCGAACATATAACTGTTCATACTCTTTGACTTGGTTTTCCATGTTGTTGCCTTCATGAATGAGTTAAAGTCTGTGACATAGTTTCACTCTGTATTTTATAAGCTTCCTGTCTTCCAGCCTTTTTGGAAATCCTTGTTGGCAGCAGGAGTTGGCCTGAGTAGCCCCAGAGCTTGCGTCACGAAGTAGTGCAGATCTTGGGTTACGCCAGAAGCATCCCACTAGAAAAAGCTGCTACATCCTAGTCCAATAAGTGTGAAAATGTCAGAGATAGAACAGCAGCCACAAACAGAATCAGAAGTACAAAGGCCGAATAGAAACACTTGGCAGGAACTAAGTTTGAGATTAATACTCCCAACAAGCATTTAAAAAAAATCTATTCATCCCTAAAGAATATGAGATGTTTGATTAGTTTGTTTTCATTCTCTGGCTGCCTCCTTCCCATCCCCACCTTTTCCAGGGGAGCTTCTGGGACCCCAAGGATTAGACAAAATAAGCCAGGGAATGCCCTAATGGTTGGGAAAAGAATAGATTAAAAGGAAGTGGGAACCAGTGCTCCTAGGGTCTTTTGAGGCTCCATTCTAGGCCAAAAATAAGGCAAGAAGGAGTCCTAGAAGTCTGCCAGAGGACACTCAAGCTGCTATCCCCATCAAGGCCCCAGGGTGGAGCCTGCTATGGCCTAGCAGCCTGAGACTTTGAGCTCAGAATTTCCACTGCAGCTGGCAACAGCTGGGTCAGTGCTGTGTCCTCCTCCTCAAAAGGAGCCCCTTTCAGAGAACCAGGAGTTCCAGTCCCAAGCCACACCTCTTCTTCCAGCCAACCAGAGTTTAGCATCCAGCAGCCCAAGAAGAGATCACTGGGACAAAGGCAGGAAGTCCTTCTGAGCATAAGGAACACCCTCTTCCTAGGCAGAGCAGGCTGAGTTCCCCACTCCCATCCTTGGCTCCACCCAATCCATCCCTTCTTCCCTGTACTTCACCTCTACATATTGGTTTGACTGGTTTGTTTGTTTGTTTTTTTCCCCCAAGACAGGGTTTCCCTGTGTAGCTCTGGTGGTCCTGGAACTAGGGCTGTAGAGCAGGCTGGCCTGAACTCATCCTCCTGAGTGCTAGGACTAAAGTTGTGCACCACCACCAGCCAGCTTGTTTGACGGACTTTTAAAGACTTCACTATTCTCAATTCCGCATGCGTCTGTGTGTCTCCGAGTGCCTGCGGCTCCCTGAGGAAGTACTGGGCTGGAGTTACCAGCAGCTGAACCACCTGGTGTGAGTGCTGATAACCAAACTCTTCTTCAAAGGCGGCTTATGTTGTGAACCACCTGACCATCTCTCCAGTCCCCGTTCTAGTCTGTTGAGGCAGGCTATGGGTCTCTAATTCTGACTGTCCTACCCCAGCCAGACAGCGTGAGTACAAGCGTGGTCACCAGGCCACACTTTCAGCCTTGCTTTTTCCCTCTCCTTCTTTCCTACATGCTGACCCGACTAGTTCCTGGAAGGACAAAAAGGAAAGCCTAAAAGCACAGGAAAGCCAACCCGAGTTTCCTGGACCGGGCATGACGCACCTGGGCAGAGGGCCTAACGCACACAAGGCTCAAGTCTGTTACACAGCAAAGGGCTTTGAACCCATAACCTTCCTGACTCCATCTCCTGAATGCTGAGATTACAGGCAAGGACCAGTAGGCTTAGGATAAAAATGATGGGGAAGTGAGGGAAAGAGACTGGGGGAGGGGCAGAAGAAACTGACTGGGATGTACCATATGAGAAAAGAATAAAAAAACAAAACAAAAAGAAAACCATATAGTATTATCTACACTAGCTAAACAGACAAGTACTCTGTGAGCCAGCAATACACCCAACACACAGGCACACATGAACACACATGCACATATTAACACACACACCTACATACACGCACACACCAAGGTATAAATTTCCAGCACACTGTTTGCATTCATAATAGCCATAAACTGGCAGCAGTGCAAATATTTGCCACAACAGAACGGGCAACTCTATAAAGCAACAGCTGTACAGGGGCTGCAGCTTCAGCCCAGCAGCTAGGAGCACTCACTGGCTGCTCTTCCTGAAAAGCGGGGCTCAGTTCCCAGCACCCACATCAAGTGGCTCACACCCGCTTGTAACTCCAGGCCCAACATACCTGATGCCCTCTGGCTTCAGAGAGCACCTGCACACACGTGATGCACATGAGCTCACACATGCACATAAATGTACATATAAATAAAAATGGATAAAATCTTAAAAAAAAAAAAACAGGTATGGTGGCAAGTGCCTTTAATCCTAGAGTTAGACACAGGAGGACAGGGCATTCACGTCCAGCCTAGACTACATGATACCTTGTTTAAAAGCATACACACACACACACACACACACACACACACACACCATCGAGATTAAGTGTGTGAGGGTCAGTGTTAATCGGCATCACTGTGACAGGATCAGGAGTCACCTGGAGACAGGGGCCTGGTGTGCCTTTGAGGGCCTTACCCACTGCAAGTAGTGCCATCCCAGGCAGGGATCCTGGACTATAAAAGTGCAGAAACAGAGCTGAGGAGCAGAAAGCAGCCATTTGTCTCTCCTCCTGGGTGTGGGTGTGAGTGTCGCCAGCTGCCTCAAGCTCCGTCACCCGGATTGCCTCAGCCTGATGGACTGCACTGCAAGCTCTGAGCCAAAAGAAACCCTTTCTCTCTTAACTTGATTTTGTTTGAAACTGGCTTGGGACCTACAAGACACTGTCTCAAAACAACAACGCCAAGACTGCAGCAAGTGAGCATTCTGAGATACGTTGTGACCACGGGGTAGAAGCATGATGCTAGCAATTCACACTAAGGGCATGTGGCAAGAAGCTGGCGGCTGCGAAGCTGTGCTGCGGGAGCCCCTGTGCTGCGGGAGCCCCTGTGCTGCGGGAGCCCCTGTACTGGATCACTTACGGCTGACAGAGCTTGACAAGGTCCTGGTCGGTAGTGCCTGGCTGCAATCCCCGGATGTAGAGGTTGGTTTTGCTCAGCTGGTCACTCCCGCTGCTCCCACTGCTGTTAGGGGTGCCGTTCCTTGGACTTGGCGGTGCCATCTGCTGAGGCAATGACACATACGGCTGCAGGGAGACACGAAGGTCAGAAAGATTGTCCATCTGCCCGTGGGAAACTGAGGAAGTCCCTGACTCCCGGGAAATAGGTACGACACAAAAACAAAAGGGGAATAAACCAGCTAAAAAGAATAATAAGATGGGCCAGTGAGACGACGCAGCAGGTAAAGGTGTCCGGAGTCTACGAACACGGGAGTAAAGAACGAGCGCCTAAAAGTCACCCTCTGACATCCATACACGCACTGTGGTGTCCCACACACGCACACACGTGCACACACTCGCATGCGACAGATATATACAAGATACTATAAAGTTATTTAAGTAATTATGGAAACTATAAGAATTCCTCTACTATAAAAGACTAGTGTACATAGCCATCCTTGCCGTCAGCCAGGAGCGGTAAGAGAACAAAAGAAGCCAGTTTGGGAGAAGGGCACTTTGTGTTACAGTAGGATGCTTCTAATCCTAAATCTGCTGCAGAACGTGACTGGCGTCTGCCTCTCACACCACAACTTATCAAACCATAAAGGGTAGAAATAACATAAACACAAAAATATCCACAAGGTAAAAAAAAAAAAAAAAAAAAAAAAAAAAGAATCTCACATAATACTTGGAAGAAGTTGAGAAATGTTGTAAACTTGGACAGTACCAAGAAATGCCGAAGCTGGGGGACAGCTCAGCTTGCGAAGGGCCTGTCATGGCAGCATGAGGATCTGAGTTCAGGCCCTCAGCACACAGGTGGAAAGCTGGTGGCACACACCTTTAATCCCGGCATAGTAGAGACAGGCCAGCCTAGGCAAATCCAGGCTGCAGGTGCAGCGAGAGACCCCCTTCTCAAAAAAAAAAAAAAAAAAAAAAAAGCTGGTGGTGTATACCTTTAATGCCAGTGTTTTAGGGGCAGAGGCAGGAGGTTCTTTATGAGTTTGAGGCTAGTCTGGTCTACAAAGCAAGCTGCAGGCCAGCCAAGGTTGCATGGTGAGACCCTGTTTCAAAATACAAACAACAATAAAACAGAGTCTAAGAGAAAAAAACAATCTGGGAAGTGCACTTAAGTCTCACTATCTGACTTTCCAAAGGAAACCACTTAGAAAGCTGGTACCAGCCAATCATGTTCACCTAAGAGGTCGCATGTGTGAGTGACTGCCTAGGAGACTGAAACATTCTTACCGGAAGAGGGAAGGCTACCAAAAAGCTATGGTTTCTTCAACACCCTAAACGAAACTGATACAATTTAAAAGTCTTTTGTGTTGTTTTCTTTGAGACAAGATCTCACATATCCCGGGCCAGTTTAAACCCTTCTGGCTTCCTTTCCTCAATGCTGGAATTACATATGCGCCACCACACCAGGCTGTATTTCAAAACTCTGGCTGATAGCCACTCATATGCCACCAAATTCCTTTTTTTCTTTCCCAAGACAGGGTTTCTCTGTGTAACCCTGGCTGGACTCACTTTGTAGAGCAGGCTGGCCCCAAACTCACAGTGATCCACCTGCCTCTGCCTCTCGAGTGCTGGGATTACGGATGTGTCCCACCATGCCTGGCTACCAAATTCATTCTTGACCTGGGGCCATTAACTCCATTTTTTTGCATTTTTTTATTAATTATTATTACTTATTACAATTTATTCGCTTTGTATCCCAGCTGTGGCCTCCTCCCCTTTTATCTGACCCTTCTCTAGCAGGTCTCATCAGTACTGTCTTCCTCTGCAGACTGGCAAGGCTTCTCACTCCAGGGGCAGTGATCATAGAGCCTGCCACTAAGTTCATGCCAGAGTCAGCCCCTGCTCCCCTTACTAGGAAACCCACTTGGAGACTGAGTCTATGGGCTACATCTGAGCAGGGGTTTTAGGTCCTCTCCATGCACGGTCCTTGGTTGGGGTATCAGTCTCTGCAGGGTCCCAGGATGCAGCTGTTGTTTTTTGTTTTGTTTTTTTTGCTCTGTTGGTCTCCTTTTGGAGCTCCTGTCCCTTCCAGGTCTTTCTATCATTAACTCCATTATTAACCCCCAGAGCGAGAGAAAAATGTTCCCAACCATGAAGCCATAGCCCCTGGTGCAGGCATGGTATTTGTAAAGATGAGAGAAACCAGTTCACAGGACATCTTTATTATATACTTAAAGCCTAAGCAGTCTCACAGACACACCCAGTGCTCTACTTTGTAACTATGACAGGAATGTGGCCGTGACTCTACAGTACGTCCTGAGGCTAGTGGCCTCCATGTCCTGTAACACAGATGAATGTTTTTTGCTTGGGTTCCAGGTCATAATGCCTAAGAGAAGGTCCACCTTCTCCATGGAGTAACAGATTCTCCAGCAATTATCCATGAGCCCCTCTGGGCTACTTCAGTCACTCAGTGAATACTTGAGTTGTCCACTACATGTAAGCACTGAGTGATACTATATGGAATCATAAATAAAATGGGTAGAATACTTCACAGTGCTTTTTCATTTGTGTAGTGCTGGGGATTGAACCCAGGCCTTGACAGGACTGAACAGCCACATCACTGCAGCCCACCTCAGCATAGAGTTCCAGAAAGCTGGACAGCTGGAGCACCCTGCACTGCCAGCCAGCAGCCAGCTCAACAGGTTGGGGGGCGTCTTTTCCAGGCAGCCAGGTTGGCCTGACCCTCTTCCAGGCGTCTTTGCTTGTTTGAGAGTGCCCCTCCGCAGCCCTTGCTGCCCGCATTGGTGGTATCATGTTCTTGTGGAAGGTACATAATTTACCCTTGTTATTCAAATGCTGACTTCTCTACCCCACTATCTGGTTTCAATCCAGACACTGCACTATGGTGCTTATTCTAAGCATCATCTGTCTCAAATTTGTGTAAACATGCCACCATTTGTTCTCTGTATTGTCAAAAACAACCAGCCAATGCCGACAAGGAAAAGAACAGGGTGGAACATCCTGGTCCAGAGGGGAGGAGAAAGAAGTGAATGGGAGGAGAGAGATCTGAGAGGAGAGGACCTTGAGAGATAAACTGGACCTAAGATATGACTAAAAGCAAGTAAAATGTTGGAAATCTGGATGGGAGGAAACTATGCGGGCTTGGAGGTTTAGAATGGAGTAACTATTGCCCAGCATTGTGCTCTAGGTTAACTAAATAAATCCTAGTCTCTGTGTAGTGATTTGGGTGTACAGATGGTTTAGGAATAACCACTAAAAAGATAATAAATATTAACACTCAACAACACCATGTCAACTATTTATACAGCCCAGGGTGACCTCAGACTCCTGTCAGCCTCACTGGCTGAGTGCACAGCTCGTGGCTGCAATATAGTTAAATACACTCCCATGAGGAGTTTACAAGTTAGAGCTCACAACCTAGAAAACCATCAGAATGAAAAGTGTGTGATGGGGCTGGAGAGACAGCTCAGCGGTTAAGAGCACTAGCTGTTCTCCCAGAGGACCAGAGTTCAATTCCTGGCACCCACATGGCTGCACATGACTGACTGTAACTCCAGTTCCACGGATCAGACACCATCATATATGCAGGCAAAATGCCAAAAACAAAGAAAAGTGTGAGCTGGTGAAGATCGATCTAAGCAAAACGGTAACAGCATGAAGAAACAAGCAATTCCTGAGAGAGAAGTTTTGAAGAGATGTCTACATTATCCCTTGAGAGGACAAGCAGAACAGTGAGTTCAGAAGCGAGCCACTGGGAAAACACAAATCAAAATCCAGACACCTTGTGTTGGCCACTGCTGTGTCAGAACAAGCTGGGGTTCTGGAAGGGGAACCTCAGCTGAGAAAATGCCTCCACCAGACTGGCCTGTGGAACACTTTCTTGATTAATGATTGATGTGGGAGGACCCAGCAGCTCTCAGTGGGAGCTGCCTCTCCGGGAGTCCTAGACCACATAAGAAAATAGGAGGAGCAAGCCTTGGGCAGCAAGCCAGTAAGCTTGCTCTGTGGCCCCTGATTTGGTTTTTGCCTCCAGGTTCCTGCCCTGACTTCCCTGGATGGTGTAAACAAGCTATAAGATAAAATAAATGCTTTCATCCCTGTGGTGTTTTGAATAGGAGTGGCTCCCTCACACTCGGCCCACGAGGAGTGGCACTATTGGGAGGTGTGGCCTTGCGGACTCAGGATGTCACTGTGAGGGTAGGCTTTACGTCTCATATGCTCAACTTAGGCCTCGTGCAGCAGTCTCCTTTTGCTGCCTGTGGATCAAGACGTAGACCTCTCGGCTCCTTCTCCAGCACCATGTCTGTCTGCACACTGCCATGCTTCCTACCATGACGATAAGGGACTAAACCTCTGAAACTGTAAGCCAGCCCCAATTAAATGTTTCCTTTATAAGAGTTGATATGGAAAGCTGGACGGTGATGGTGCACGCCTTTATCCTAGCACTCAGAAGGCAGACCAGGGCAGCCTGGTCAACAGAGTGAGTTCTAGGACAGCCATAGCTACACAGAGAAACCCTGTCTCAAAAAAACAAAAACTAAAAATAAATAAATAGATAGATAGATAAAAAAGTTGCCACAGCTGCGGTGATCATGGTATCTCTTTGCAGCAATAGAAACCCTAGCTAGGGCATACGCCTTCACACCCACTGAGACAAGAAAGGGCAGCTGAGGGTGTGATGAAACCACACGTGTGAGATAATAAAACAAGTCAGTCATTTTTGTGTGTGTTTGTTCATTTGTTTGAGACTCAGTCTCATGAAGGCCAGGCTTGCCTCTCCTGGTTTGGGCATTATAACTCTGGATGTCCTTGATCTCCTGACCCTCCTGCCCCCACTTTCCAAGTGCTGGGACTACAGGTATGCCCCACCATATCCACCTTTTTATAGCAATTCAGAAAGTACTTGTCATGTGTGATTTCATTTTGTCTTCTCGACATCTCTGTGAAGAGGAATAGGAAATGTGTTATTTATTCCCCTTTTAAAATTTGAAAGCTAGGGCTAGAGAGATGGCTCAGAGGTTAAGAACACTGGCTGCTCTTCCAGAGGTCCTGAGTTAAATTCCCAGCAACCATATGGTGGCTTTCAACCGTCTATAATGATATCTGGT